CAAACTCCAAAGCATTGAGTTCCTTCGATCCTCCCCAGCCACAGACACTAGCGCCTCCACCTCATCCACCCACCCCCGTAGCAAACTGGGGAACTCCCAGGATCGCATCCAGCGGCATACTCCAGGATCCTGCTTCCTCGAAACTCTCCCAGCCCCGCACACCTGGACGTTCTCCCCCCGCCCCGAGCCCATACGCTGGGCTGGCACGGCCGCCGAGCCCTCCGAGCTCCGAACCCCGGGATCCCCATTTTCGAGACCCTCACCAGCCCGAATAGAAAATGTCTTGTTCTTCCGAGTCTCTCCGGCCCCAGAAACCAGTTTCCGGTCTCCGATCCGAGCCCCGCCGTACGGAACCCTCCCCGCCACCCCGGCCCCTAAGCTCCGAAGCCCAGAGCCCCTCCCCCAGCGTCCCCCCTGCACCGAGGGTCAGGATCCACCCTCCGGTCGCGCCGGGGCCCTTGGCCCCAGATCCTTTTCGGCTGCGGGTGGCGGGGTCCCCCGATCGGCGTCTCCCCGACCTCAGGCGCTGGACTCCCGCGTCCCACAGCCCTTTCCTAGGCCCAGGCTCCGGGATCCCCGGCCCCCGCCCCGCGCACTCTCACAATGTCCGTCCGGCCCCGAGTAGCCGCCGGGCTCCGCGTGCGGCTGCAGCCCGGGCGGCGGTGGCTGCGCGGTCCCCTCCAGCTCGGAGCCCCCCTCGGTCTCGACCTCCTCGTTGATGTGCCCGGGTCGCCCCGGTTCGTCGTCGGCCTCGAGCTCCCGCTCGTCGTCAGGCTCCTCGGCCTCCAACGCCGCCTGCAGCCGCTCAGCAAGCTCGGCCTTGAGGCCTCGAGTGTCCAGGCCGCGGCGCTGCAGCTCCTCGCGAAGTTCGTTCACCTTCAGACGGCGCACATCCATGGCCCGGGCCCCCGGGGCGGCCCCCGAGCCCGGCCCGGCCCCCCAGGGCTATGTCCCCCTTAAACCTTTCCTGTCAGAAGGCGAAGGGGGAAAGGGGGGGGCCCACTCCAATGGCGGCGGCGGCTCAAAATGGCCGCCGCCGCCGCCTCCCCCCGCACCCGTACCTCGTCCGATGTAACAAGAGTGCCAATTGGTCAGCGCTTGGGGCAACGGGCGCGGGCCCTGATACCCAGCCAATCAGAACGCGGTTTTCAAAACAACGGCAACGAGAGGGCCCAAGAGCTACAGGGAAGGAAGCGTTGGCCTACGTCGAAGCCGAGGCCCGGAGCGGAGGGCGGGAAAAGGCAGGAGGCGGAGCGCGCGCTGATTGGGTGGCTCTCGCGCGCCCGCTGCCATAAGGCCCAATGAAAACAAGGGAGTAACGATTTGGACCAATCGGCGGTGAGATCTCAGAATGCGCGTCCCACGGCCTTTCCTGCGTAGTCCTTTCATCAAACTAAGTGTCTCTGTAACACACATTCCGATTGGTCTATATCTCCCGCCCCTTGAGGAGTCCGAGCGGGTAAAACCACAAGAACCAATGAAACAGAGGGTCGGCAGAAACCCCCTCCTTCCTGTTACCTTTAAGAAACCGGAAAGAGATGAATTCACCGAGGGCCCGCCCCTTGCCGTTAGGGCGGTTTCAAAACAATCTGCCCACCAATCGCAGTTACTGTCTTAGCTGCTAAAGCTGGCCGGGCTGGCTCGTTTTAGGAAAAGTTCACCAGATTGGCCGTGCTTTAGAGGATTGCCTCACAGATTTCGCTGTAGGTGGAGGTATATGGAATAGAGATTAAGTGGATATACAGTTCGTAATCTGGAGGGAACCCAGTTGCCTTTAGGAAAAGCAAAATTTTGACTTCAGGGAGTCCCGAAGGTTTGGGTATAGAGGCCAGACTAACAACGGAAGGCAAGTTGTAAAGGACACGGCCCGCCCTTCCCTTGGGAAGTCCGCCGCCGCCTTCCTCTATGGTCTGTACCTGACGTGGAACGGGCGCTCTGCACGCGACCATAGAGCCTTCCGCTCCCGAAAGACCTCCAGAAGTTCACCGACCGCTCTCCCGAATCCTCAAATCGGCTGTTCCCGTAAATCGGGCTCTCTGGCGTCTGTACCGACCAGCTCAATCCCGCGGATCCGTCATTAACGCTCGCTCTCATGAATACAAACGCCAGAGAGCTTCCCGGTGCCTAACGCCGCGCCACCTGTCGCCTCTAACTCAGAAAACAAAACTCGAGTGAGACGCAATCGGGATACACGATGCAGACTCCCACTGCCTCCCGAGCCACACGTTAAGCCCGCAGAAGCCACACACCATCTCTACTTAGACAAAGGCACACCCCGCGGAGATAAACAAACAGGCGTGCGTCACATCAGACGCATCCAGTTCTTTCTTTCTTTTCTTTTTTTTTTTTGAGATGGAGGCTCGCTCTTGTTGCCCAGGCTGGAGTGCAGGGGCGCAATCTTGGCTCACTGCAACCTCCGCCTCCCGGGTGCAAGCGATTCTCCTGCCTCAGCCTTCCGAGTAGCTGGGATTACAGGTCCCCACCACCACCACGCCCAGCTAATTTCTTGTATTTTTAGTAGAGACGAGGTTTCCCCATGTTGGCCAGGCTGGTCTCGAACTCCTGACCTCAAGTGATCCGCTCGCCTCGGCCTCCCAAAGTGTTGGGATTACAGGCGTGAGCCACCGCGCCCGGCCCCAGTTCTGATCTGATTTGAGCAGGGCACCCAGCTGCAGTGTAGAGGTGCCCAGTACGGTCCGCGGAGGCAGGCGGCATCGAATGATAAAGATAACACAGGATAGCTGCACTACAAGCGAACACTACAGCAACCCAGACACACAGCACCTACTCAGCAGCGGGACAGACACTCACGTGGGCCCGGAGGTTCCAGTCCAGACACCCCGCCCCTCGCCCACGTCCGACTTCCTCTCTCTCTCTCTCTCTTTCTCCTCCCAGCTTCCCACAATGATTTGTTCTAAAAAAGTTTGTGGCCCGGATTGAACTGTCTCCCGTTCTCAAGAACCGCCACCGGAGGGCGTCCGGTGGCTGCCAAGCGTTCCTCCATTTGCTGCCGGCCACACCCGGGAACGCCCGCCCGCGAGTTCGTGCTAGACACGGAGGGCTGGTCTTGGCTAGAGGCTCCTGTGGATCCGTGATTGTCGGAGGTGTTCTGTGCCTGTGTTTCTATGTCAGTCTGAACGTTTGGGGCTGTGAGTACCTGTTGTACTCTACATGTCTCTTGAGTATTTGTGTCACTTGACTCTGGGTCTGTGTCTCTTCCTATTCCTTGCAGATGTCTGCCTGAGCGTTTGTAAATGTTTGTGTCTGTGTAATTCTGTATGTTTGTGTTACTCTATGCGTCTGAATTTCAGTCTTTGTATTTGTGACCAGGTCCTCCCGGGTGTGTCCATTAATTCATGTGTCTGTTACTTTGCAGGGGACAGGTGTGTGTCTGTGAGCCTGGATCTGTATGCCAGTTCCTAAGAGTTTCCGAGAGTCTGCATCTCTTTGCTTGTGTGTCTTTTTTTTCTATGTTTATGTTCATTTCTACCCTCTCTAGTGAGGAAAGAATTCCAAGACCCCACCAAACGCTTCTTCTTTTTTTTTTTGATGAGGGAACTGAATTGCCATGGAATAGGGCCACATCACAGCTAAAAGGAGACGAGGAGACAAAAGCTCATTATATAAAGTTTTATGTGACCTGAGCCCCTCAGAGGGTGAGGGATTGACTCAGGGGGGCACTGTGGCCCGAAAGGTGGGAGGTTCCCCTATCCCCTGTGGGAACGGAGGCATCTCTAATGCATTGCACAGGCTTGAAGGGGACACACCCCCACAGGAGGTGAAGAGGAAGCAGTGGTGGCTAAGAAGAAGAGGGGCACCCCAAAGACTGCTACAGTATAGGTTAGAACCTTGGAATTGCTCCTAATAGTCTAGACCTGTGGATCTTTAGAATCTCAGAAACTTAGAACATTTGAGTCTTAGAACTACAGTGCCTGGAGATACACGATTTGAGAAATGTGGATTCTTGGACTCTTAACCATGGTCCTAGAGAGGTGGAATGCGGCATCGAACCTAAAGGTGTCCAACATTAAAAATGATTAGAACTTTGGTGTCTTGTTAGTCCAAGCGGGGTGTGAGAGTCTTAGAACTTAGATGCTTGGTATCCAGAATCTTGGATCAATGGAATCTAGAGTGCCTTGAAACAACAGACCATTAGAATCTTAAGAGTTTAATCATATAGAATCTCAGACACAGAGAATCTAAGATCTTAGAGTAAGTCTTAGAATATATCACATCTTAGAACATTAGACCTCGGAACTTTTAGACTCTTGGAACTTTTGAATTGCAGATTCTAGAGCCTTAGACCCTTAGGATCTAGGATCTTATACAAGAGAATCTATTATCATATAGCCTCAGAAACTATAATTGATCATCATTAGAATCTTAGAACTTGAGAAAATAAAATTTGGAAGGCTTATGATCTAGTCTTCTAGCCAGAGGTTCTAGATTTACAGCCTTAGAACATCAAATTTTAGAATCATTGGCCTTAGAACCTCCATGTCTAGAATTTTAGAATCTAGAATCTTACACTGTAAGGACTCTGAACCCTAGAAAAATAAAAATCTAGAATCATAGAGCCTTAGATCCTAAAATCAAGAGCTTTAGAACCTAAAATCTTGGGGCCTTATCAAAAATGTTAGAACCAGGAAATGTAAAACCACAGAATCTCAGAGCCTTAGAATAGTGGGTCTTAAGGTTGAGTGCAGTGGCTCATGCCTGTAATCCCAGCACATTGGGAGGCCAAGGTGGGTGGATCTCTTGAGGTCCGGAGTTTTAGGTCAGCCTGGCCAACAAGGCCAACAAGGCTGTCTCTAGTAAGAATACAAAAATTAGCCGGGTGTGGTGGAGCACATCGGTAATCCCAGCTACTTGGGAGGCTGAGGCAGGAGAATCACTGAAGCCTGGTAGGTGGAGGTTGCAGTGAGGCGAGATTGTACCACTGCACTCCAGCCTGGGCAAAAAAGCGAGACTCCATCTCAAAAAGAAAAAAAAAAGTATAGTAGGCCTTATAACCTTAGCACTTTAATGAATTAAAGACTTTGGAATTTCAGGTCCTTAGAACCAAAGACTCGTAGCATCTTTGAAACCTAGAATCTTTGAATCTAGACTCTTTAAACCTTAGAATCTAGAGTCTTGGAATGTTAACACCTGGGAGGGTCTCAAATAATTGCAATCCAACCCCTTTCTTTTACAAATGGTGATGCTATGGCTTTTAAGGTGATGCCACTGCACAGAGAAGGGGAAGGACCTGTCTGGGATGGAGGTGGGATAGGTAGGAAGATAGGGTTGCAGGTGGGGATAAGGCCTGGGGTGGGAGAGTCAGGGGGCGGGGGTGGAGTTTCCCCCAGTGGCAGTGCCTAGCTTGGATCCTGAGAGGGAGTCCCAGGTGGAGGGTTGTCTCAGGCGCCATCCTCCTGCCCTGGGGCTGCTGGGGAGCCCCGATCAGCAGGCTGAGGGGGGCTGGGGGCTGTGGAAGGGCAGAGGACATAGCGTCCAGCAGGATGGACCTCAGCTGCAGTGAGGCAGCTACAGGAATCCTTAGGGTCTGGCTGGGTTGGGGGGTCGGCTCCTCCAGCAGCTCCAGGGGGTTCAGGATAACCTCCACCCTCATCCATGTTGACATAGAGGATTTCGTCAGGCTCCTGGGCAGGCGGCAAAGCCTTCAGTGTGTTCTCCAGATCTTCCCGCAGCTCTGCAAAACTTGGCCGGTCCTGCGGATTCAGCTCCCAGCACCGCGACATCAGGGCATACCTAGGGCAGCAAAATGAGGAGTGGGAGATTGAGCAGGGACTCAGAAGGGGAGCGCTCTGGGAGCCTGGGGACATTTTAGGACACTCAGGGGACTGGGGGCATTTTAGAGGGCTGGAGGAGCCTCAGCAGTTTGAGGCTGTCTATGATAATTTGGAAACTCCCGAGTTTCTCTATTGGGTCCTGGGAGCTGGGAAGGGTATCGGGCAACCTGTCTGGGTATGGAGTAGTATTCTGATGAGGGTTTGCTAGAATAGACCTTCCCAGTTCCCCAGAACAGACTCGCATCAAAGCCTGGCTATGCCACTTACAAGCTGTGCTGATTTAAAATAGGTCCATGCATGCTTTGACCCTCCTCCCTGCAAAAGACAGAGAATAAATCCCCTCCTCTTGAGCAACGGCAGAACCTAGTAACTTGCTTCTGCTTTGGCAGAAGTGATGGCATGTGTGACTTCTGAGACTAGGTCATAAAAGGCATTGCAGCTTCCTCGCACTTTCTCATGGACTGCCACGTTGTGAGTAAGCTCAAACAGCGCCACAAAGGGGTCCGCATGGTAATGAACTGAAGCCTCCTGCTGCAGCCATGTGAGTAAGCCACCTTAAAAGCAATCTTCTGGGCCGGGCATGATGCCTCACGCCTGTAATCTCAGCACTTTGCGAGGCTGAGGTGGGTGGATCACAAGGTCAAGGGTTCGAGACCAGCCTGACCAATATGGTGAAACCCCATCTCTACTAAAACTGCAAAAAAATTAGCCAGGCATAGTGGTGTGCACCCGTAATCCTAGCTACTTGGGAGGCCGTGGCACGGAAATTGCTTGAACCAGGGAGTTGGAGGTTGCAGTGAGCCGAGATCACGACACTGTACTCTAGCCTGGGTGACAGCGAGACTACATGTCAAAAAAAAAAAAAAAAAAAAAAAAAAAAAAAAAGGAGCTGTTATTTTTACTTCTGTCAGCTCTTGGAGTACCCAAGGTGGACTGAGGAGTCTGAGGCCCCAGGCTGTCTCCTCCTGACCCAACCAGCATCTTCTCTTTACCCTCAAAGTGCTGGCTAAATATCATGGCCTTCTCCACGTGCTCCAATATTGCAAAGTTTGATAAGCACACCCTAAAGGATCCTGCAAACATCTCAGAGGAGACCTGAGTCTAGAGAAGGTCAATAAAACAAACTGGAGGGTTTTGCAGAGAGTTCCGGGTGTTGAGGAACATGTGGGGGAAGCGTGGTGTGCTCAGGAGTCTGGGATGAATTAGAAATCTCTGGGAGTGCAGGTCCCAGAGGCAGGGCCACCAGGTAAGACTGTGCTGTTCTTCACTGCCCAAGGGTACCTGACTTGGGGATGGGGAGGCAGGGGGCTGATTCAACCTGCATTCCAGACACAGCCAAAGGAGGAAAAGGTGCCTTTAGCCGATTTGCACTCCACTGGCTAGTGGTGGCCCTACTCAGAGCATTGGTGAGGGGCAATGGGTCGCTCAGCATTCTCAGGGATTCTGTCCTGGTTATAGAGAGTCCTGGACCTGTGAGGGCCATGTGGGGGTAATCAGGGATTTGGAGTGAATTCTTGGTTGGGGGGAACCTAAGGTTCCTCACAGTCCATCCAGACAGTCCGCAGGCTGCTTCAGGCGGTTTCCCTGGCGCAGATAGTCATAAATCTCGCTGTTCTCCACTCCTGGATATGGGGTTTGGCCTCTTGTGGCAATCTCCCACATCGTCACCCCGAAGGACCACTGTGAGGGGCAGAGGGGAGGGAATTAGACAGTCTCCCCTGTACAGAATGACCCCACTCCCATACACAGGTTCATGGGTACACCCACACTTATGTACATGTGTTCACAACCATCTTCTGGGAGCATCACAGTATTCACAGAAACATACTTTGGCCGGGCACAGTGGCTCACGCCTGTAATCCCAGCACTTTGGGAGGCTGAGGCGGGCAGATGACCTGAGGTCAGGAGTTGGAGACCAGCCTGACCAACATGGTGAAATCCCATCTGTACTAAAACAACAAAAATTAGCTGGGCATGGTGGTGGGCACCTGTAATCCCAGCTACTCGGGAGGCTGTGGCAGGAGAATCACTTGACCTGGGAGGCAGAGGTTGCAGTAAGCTGAGATCGCACAACTGCACTCCAGTCTGGGCAACAGAGCAAGACTCTGTCTAAAAATATGTATATGCACACACACACATATATATAATACTTTAAGTAACTTTCGTGGATACATATACATGCTTGCCCTCACATGCATTTACACACTTCATGGACACATGAGCTCATGTGTCGCTCTGCACACCCTAGCTGTCCACATTCTATGAGTGTGCACATGCACACACGATCACTGCAGCCTCTCCTAACCCAAACTGTCTACATTGCCACCATGCACACATGGGTCTGTATCTATCCTGGGCATGCACACAGCACTGCTCAGAGATGCCCACCATACCCCAAGACATGCCCAGTCCATGTGGACAACCCCTTACAAAGGGAAGCCCACATGTCCCTGGGACCCTTGCATCCACAGCTGCTCGGACATGGTGTGTGGTGGTCAGGCCATGCCCTCCTGTGGTTCCCCAATCTTGGCGGGGATGCATGTACCACATCGCTCTTGCTGGTGTAGACACGGTCGGCTAGACTCTCAATGGCAATCCACTTGACTGGCATCTTGGCGATACGTCCCTGGCGGTAGTAGTCCCCATTGTAGATCTTCTTGGAGAGCCCGAAGTCCGCCACACACACGGACATGTTCTCGTTCAGCCTGTTCGGATTGGGGAGAGGAACAGGATCAGGGCATCGGCCACCTCCACCAGGAAGCGTGCCCTGGCTTTCAGATACATCTGCACCTCCTGACCTTGCTGTCCTGGCTGGAGGTGGGGATTTGCCTCCCAAACCTTCACCCCAGGCTGACACCCTTTTTGGCCTCAGCCCACCTGCACCCAGGTGAATTGAAAAACAAAAAACAAAAAACAAAAAAAACCCTTCGCCCCAGTCCAAATGGGTGGGATGCTTTACTTCTTGTCCCCTCTGTCAAATGAGGATGGGACAAAGGGCTTCTACAGGCCTTCCTAAGTTTGGCTCTTTGCTAGATTCTAAGGTCCTTCCTTGGGTTTGATTCCTTGATGAAAAATTGTTTTTTCTTGAAGTATACTGTACATACGGAAATGTGCAAAAATCTTAAGTGAGCAGATCATTGAATTTTCACACACACACCCATGTAACGAGCACCCAGATCAAGAAACAGAACATGGCTGGGCACAGTGGCTCACACCTGTAATCCTAGCACTTTGGGAGGCCAAGGCAAGGCCTTGGATCACTTGAGGTCAGGAGTTCGAGACCAGCCTGGCCAACATGGTGAAACTCTGTCTCTACTAAGAGCACAAAAATTAGCTGCGTGTGGTAGCACACACCTGAAATCCCAGCTACTCAGGAGGCTGATGCAGGAGAATCAGTTGAACCCAGTAGGCGGAGGTTGCAGTGAGTTGAGATCATGCCACTGTACTCCAGCCTGGGCAGCAGAGTGAGTGAGACTCCATATCAAAAAAAAAAAAAAAGGCTTGGCACAGTGGCTCAGTGGGCTCAAGCCTATAATTTTGGCACTTTGGGAGGCCAAGGCAGGAGGAGGAAGATCACTTAAGGCTAGAAGTTCAAGACCAGCCTGGAAAACAAAGCAAGACCCTGTCTCTACAAAAAAATTTTTTTTTTTTCGTGAGACAGAGTTTCGCTCTTGTTACCCAGGCTGGAGTGCAATGGCGCGATCTCGGCTCACCGCAACCTCCGCCTCCTGGGTTCAGACAATTCTCCTGCCTCAGCCTCCTGAGTAGCTGGGATTACAGGCATGCGCCACCATGCCCAGCTAATTTTTTGTATTTTTAGTAGAGATGGGGTTTCACCATGTTGACCAGGATGGTCTCGATCTCTTGACCTCGTGATCCGCCCGCCTTGGCCTCCCAAAGTGCTGGGATTACAGGCTTGAGCCACCGCACCTGGCCAAAAAAATTTTAAAATAGCTAGGCATGGTGGCACATGTCTGTAGTTCCAGAGGCTGAGGCAGGAGGATAGCTTCAGCCAGGAGTTGGAGGCTGCAGTGAGCTATGATCATGCCACTGCACCCCAGCTTAAAGGACAGAGTAAGACTCTGTCAGAACAAAACAAAAAAGATAAGAAAGGGAAACAAAAAGAAAAGAAGGAAAGAAAGAAAGAACAAAAGAAAGAAAGAAAGAAAGAAGGAAGGAGAGAGACCATCTATAGGACATTCATATGGTGGAATATCAGAAAGCAAAGAAAAAGAGCGAACTATCCCTACACAGATTAATCTCAAAAACATCATGCTGAGCCATAGAAGCCAGATACAAAGCAATACAAACAGTATGATCCCATTTGTATGACTTTTCAGAAAAGGTGAAAAGAGTGCTGAGAAGTCAGGATAGTTTTGGGGTAGTGACTGGGAAGAGGAAGAGTCATGGAGGAGCCTGCTGGGGCTAAGAAATATTCTTTACCTTGATCTAGTGGTTACATGGGTCTGTTCCCATAAAAAATTCATTGAGCTGAGCCGGGCGCAGTGGCTCACACCCTGTAATCCCAGCACTTTGGGAGGCTGAGGAGGGTGGATCACAAGGTCAAGAGATCGAGACCATCCTGGTCAACATGGTGAAACCCCGTCTCTACTAAAAATACAAAAAATTAGCTGGGCATGGTGGCGCGTGCCTGTAATCCCAGCTACTCAGGAGGCTGAGGCAGGAGAATTGAGCCCACCTTCTTGTCTCTTCTCTCTCTGCATCCAAATACTCCTCCCAGACCTCAGTTCAGGACCCACCTCCTCCAGGAAGCCTTCCCAGATCCCCTTACTGACTTTCCTGGTCCTAAGTTCTGGCCTGCCTTCATCAGGTGTCTAGCTCAGCTTCCATTCTACGCAGGAGGGAGGGAGCTCCCTCAGGGAGTGTGGGAGCAGTCGGGGGTGTCCCTGAAAGGCACTCACATGCAATTCCTGGCCGCCAGGTCCCGATGTATGAATCTCTTGGTACTCAGATACTCCATGCCACTGGCGATGTCTGCCATGAACTTCACTAGCATCTGAGTGGGCAGGTACTGGGGGCGAAGGCAGGTTGGAGGAGGGTCAATAGAGGTCAGTAGAGTCCTTGGCACTGATCCCTCCTCCCTCTGTCCCTCTGTGCAGGCCTATCTCTGCCTGCAGTGGTTTCCCGTGGCTCTGACAATTCAACCCAACCCCGTTCCATGGCCTGAAAGGTCCTATAAACTTGCTCCAGCCTTCCTGTTTGACTTGATTGCCTATATTCTTGCCCTTGAAAGACACTCCCACCAGACTCCTGTCTGGTCTTCAGATAAACCGCGATTGTTCCCACCTCCGAGCCTTTGCCTATGTTGTGCATTTTACTGGGATTGCTTCCTGCCCAGATCTCCAGACATCTCTCCAGCCCCAAGTCCCTCAAGGTCACCTCCCCGGCAAGATCTTAGACATCCACCCAAATTAACTGCCTGGCCTCCTTATCATCCATCCTACTGTATTTCCTTCCTAGCATTTAAGTCATCTTGCTTAGGTATTTATTAGCTTGTTTACTGTTCACCTCCCCTGCTGGAAGACACGCTGCAGGAGAGCTAGCTCCTGGTCACCACGGTCTTCCCAGGATCTGAGCAGTACTGGGTACCTGACTGATGCTCAGTTAATATTTATAGACTGCATGATTAAAAGCCCCTCACCACTGGCTGGTCCCCAAGCCGGGAATAGAGGAGGAAACTGTGTAGGTCTCCATGTTTCATGAAAGGTAAGATGACCACAGGTGCCGGAAAGCTCTCTCGTTCAGAACCCTGGAAACAGACGCCTGAGCCCCACCCCAGGCAGCCCTGTTACTCCTGCTGGGCAGAAGGTGATGCCAAGCCCCCTCCCAGCCAGACTCCAGCCTCTCCTCACTCCCCATCCAATCTGGCTGCCATATTGTTTAGGGAGTAGAAGAGGTAGCAAGGACCGAGCTGCAGAGACGCCGTTTCCAGCAGAGTTCCCAGGGACGTTTCCGGAGCCCTCCTGGGGACCTCAGCTATTTCTGGGAATGGTCAGAGGTCACATTCCAAGCTGAGGGAAAGTGGGAGGGGCGAGTTTGCTGACCCTGAAGGCTCGGGGAGCAGGAAGCCTGGAAGTCTGATCTTCCCAGGGCCAAAGGAAGGAGTCTTCCCTCTGCTGTGGCCCCCATGGGGCCTGTGGACCCCTTGAATCTGCCCCTCCCTCACCGATGAGCTTCATGACGTTGGGATGGTCGAATTCCTTCATACAGACGGCTTCACTCAGGAAATCCTCCAGCTCTGACCTCGTGCAGATGGCAACTAGAGGGAGAGAGAAAGGTGGTTGAGGATGAGGGAGGTGTTCCTCCCTCCACCTCCTCTCCATCATCATCATCATCATCATCACGAATCTTCATCAAACATGATGAGTATGAACTAGGCGCCAGATTCAGTACTTTCTGTATATTAACTCATTTCATCTTCTCAGGTGCTACTGTTATGTTGGTTTTTTTGAGACAGGGTCTTGCTTCGTCACCCAGGCTGGTTGCAGTCATAGCGATCACAGCTCACTGCAGGCTCAAACTCCTAGGCTTGGGTTCCTGCGTAGCTGGGACCACAAGCACACACCACCATCCATATAATTTTTTTTTTTTTTTTTGAGATGGAGTTTTGACCTTGTTCCCCAGGCTGGGGTGTAATGGTACAATCTCGGCTCACTGCAACCTCTGCCTCCCTGGTTCAAGAGGTTCTCGTGCCTCAGCCTCCCGAGTGGCTGGTATTACAGGCATGCACCATCACGCCTAGCTAATATTTGTATTTTTAGTAGAGATGGGGTTTCATCATGTTGGCCAGGCTGGTCTTGAACTCCTCACTCAAAAGTTCTAGGCTATGGCTAACTTGCTGTTAACTTTTCTGCTTTCTTCTCAGGGGCATAGGGAAGGGGCCGGGGGTCCCACACGGGTGCACATGACTCACTCTTCATTGTCTTCACAGCCACCTTGAGGACGGAGTCGTCCTGGTTGAGCTGGCCTTCCATCACGGCTCCAAACTCTCCTGTGAAGGGCCAGAGAGAGACACTGACCTTAGAGGGCCTGGGGGGACTGTTTTTCCTAGAATTGGGTGGGGGTGTGGAATTGAGGCTCTCAGAAGTTCAGAAGGATGTGTGTATGCTGCCAGGGGGGACTCACCTTCTCCTAGAGTCTTCCCCAGGGCCACCTTGTGCCGGTCCACCATCACATCCCGCAGCTTCTCCTTCAGCTCTTCACTGATACCCAGGCTGTTCACTGCATACAAGGTTGGGGTGGACAAAGCCATGGGGCAGGGCTGACATTCAGGTGACATTCACCCACCAGTAGGGGTAGACCCATTGTTGAAACGCTACATTGATTCAAAATTAGCTACTGCCCTAAGTACCCTGCCCCTTCCACCCTAGCTCTTCCTCTGGACCCCCTGAGGCTTCCCTCAAAGGGAACTAAAGGGTTAAAGCCTGGTCACACTCTTGCTCCAGTTGGCTCCCTGACGGGTCAGAGCCCTGCTGTAGCAGTTGTTAAAAATATTGATTTTGAGCCGGGCGCGGTGGCTCAAGCCTGTAATCCCAGCACTTTGGGAGGCTGAGGCGGGTGGATCACGAGGTCGAGAGATCGAGACCATCCTGGTCAACATGGTGAAACCCCGTGTCTACTAAAGATACAAAAAATTAGCTGGGCATGGTGGCGCGTGCCTGTAATCCCAGCTACTCAGGAGGCTGAGGCAGGAGAATTGCCTGAACCCAGGAGGCGGAGGTTGCGGTGAGCCGAGATCGTGCCATTGCACTCCAGCCTGGGTAACAATAGCGAAACTCCGTCTCAAAAAAAAAAAAAAAATATTGATTTTGCCAGGCACAGTGGCTCACACCTGTAATCCCAGCACTTTGGGAGGCTGAGGCAGGTGGACCATGAAGTCAGAAGTTCGAGACCAACCTGGCTAACGTGGTGAAACTCCATCTCTACTAAAAATACAAAAATTAGCCAGGCATGGTGGTGCACGCCTGTACTCCCAGCTACTTGGGAGGCTGAGGCAGAAGGGTCGCTTGAACCTAGGAGATGAAGTTTGCAGTGAGCCGAGATCATGCCACTGCACTCTAGTCTGGGTGACAGAACAAGACTCTGTTTCAAGGAAATAAAAATAAAAATATTGTTTTGCCAGACAAAGTGGCTTACACCTGTAATCCCAGCACTTTGGGAGGCCGAGGCCAGGGGATCACTTGAGTCCAGGAGTTCAAGACCAGCCTGGGCAATATGGTGAATCCCCATCTCTACAAAAAATTACAAAAATTAACTGTGTGTGGTGGCATACACCTGTAGTCCCAGCTACTCAGTAGGCTGAGATTGGAGGATCACTTGAGCCTGGAGGTGGAGCTGAGCTCACACCACTGCATCCCAGTCTGGGTGACAGAGCAAGACCCCACATCTCAAAGAAAACACAAAAAAACAAAAATATTTCTTTCTTTTTCCCTTTCTCTCCCTCCCTTCTTTCCCTTCCCTTCCCCTCCCTCCCTCCCTCCCTCCCTCCCTCCCTTCCTCCCTCTCTCCCTTCCTTCCTTCCTTCCTTTTTCTTTCTTTCTTTCTTTTTTGAGACAGTGTCTTGCTCTGTAGCCCAGGCTGGAATGTACCGGCATGATCTCAGCTCACTGCAAACTTTGCCTCCTGGGTTCAAGCAATTCTCCTGCCTCAGCCTCCTGAGTAGCTGGCATTATGGGCATGTGCCACCACACCTGGCTAATTCTGTATTTTTACTAGAGGTGGATTTTACCATGTTGGTCAGGCTGGTCTTGAACTCCTGACTTTGTTATCCACCCGCCTGGGCCTCCCAAAGTGCTGGAATTACAGGCATGAGTCAAGGAGCTCTGCCCTCCTAGGGGCAGCCATTTTCCTGATTTCTCTTACAATAGATTAGTTTTGAAATGTTATAAAAATGGAATCACATAGTATATTCTCTTTTGTGTCTGGCTTCTTTAGCTCAACATGATGTCTATGAAATAGTTACAATTTAGTTGTGGATGAGTATAATTGTAATTTATTCATTTTCATTGTTACATCGTAATCATTCTCAGACAAATTGACACCAGGACACCTTTACATTGTTAGAATTACTGAAGACTGCTACGAAGAGCTTTTGTTTATGTGAGTTACATATATATACATATCAATATTTCTGTATTCAAAAATAAAACTGGCTGGGCACAGTGGTTCACACTTGTAATCCCAGCATTTGGGAGGCCAAGGAAGGAGAACCACTTGAAGCCAGGAGTTTGAGACCGGCCTGGGCAACACAGCCAGACCCCATTCATTTAAAAAAAAAAAAAAAAAGCCGGGCACAGTGGCTCAAGCCTGTAATCCCAGCACTTTGGGAGGCTGAGGCGGGTGGATCACGAGGTCAAGAGATCGAGACCATCCTGGTCAACATGCTGAAACCCTGTCTCTACTAAAAAAATACAAAAAATTAGCTGGGCATGGTGGCGCGTGCCTGTAATCCCAGCTACTCAGGAGGCTGAGGCAGGAGAATTGCCTGAACCCAGGAGGCGGAGGTTGCGGTGAGCTGAGATCGTGCCATTGCACTCCAGCCTGGGTAACAAGAGCGAAACTCCGTCTCAAAAAAAAAAAATTTTATTTTTTTTTTGAAACCAAGTCTCACTCTGCGGCCTAGGCTAGAGTGCAGTGGCATAATCTCAGCTTGCTGCAAACTCCACCTCCCAGGTTCAAGTAATTATGTTGCCTCACCCTCTCGAGTTGCTGGGATTATAGGTGTGTGCCACCACATGCAGCAAATTTTTGTGTGTATTTTTTTAAGAGATGGGGTTTTGCCATGTTGCCCATGCTGGTCTCAAACTCCTGGGCTCCTTCTCAAAATAAAACAAACAAACAAACTGTCAGATTTAGTTAATTTTTTTTTCTTTTCTTTTCTTTTTTTTTTTCAGACAGACTCTCACTCTTGCCCAGGCTGGAGTGCAGTGGTGCAATCTCAGCTCACTGCAACCTGTGCCTCCTGGATTCAATCGATTCTCCTTCCTCAGCCTCCGGAGTAGCTGGGATTATAGGCATGCACCACCACACATGGCTAATTTTTGTATTTTAGTAGAGACAGGGTTTCACCATGTTGTCCAGGCTGGTCTCAAACTCATGACCTCAAGCAATCCACCTGCCTTGGCCTCCCAAAGTGGTGGGATTATAGGCGTGAGCCACCATACCCGTCCTGATAGATGTTTCTTTTTTTTTTTTTTTTTTTTTGGAGATGGAGTTTTGCTCTTGTTACCCAGGCTGGAGTGCAATGGCGCGATCTCGGCTCACCGCAACCTCCGCCTCCTGGGCTCAGGCAATTCTCCTGCCTCAGCCTCCTGAGTAGCTGGGATTACAGGCACACGCCACCATGCCCAGCTAATTTTTTGTATTTTTAGTAGAGACGGGGTTTCACCATGTTGACCGGGATGGTCTCGATCTCTTGACCTCGTGATCCACCCGCCTCGGCCTCCCAAAGTGCTGGGATTACAGGCTTGAGCCACCGCGCCCGGCAGATGTTTCAAATAAGAATGTAGAAGCACAAGGTCCATCGGCTGTCAGAGTGACGGATGGCATCATCCTACCTCAGGGAGCCTCTCTGGAAAACTGCATTGAATGCTCATGAGAGATGAGAACACAAAAGGGCAAATAATGTCTTGGTAATAATATGAAAATAGATTTGACCTATGGACCCCTGCAAAGGTCTCAGGAACCATAGGGGGCCAGGCTCACACTCTGAGAATGGCTGCTGTATGTCACTCAATTAAATCACTGGGACATTGTCACTTCTTCCTTCTCTTCTTAAATAAATGTCTTTCCCAGCCCTTTGCAAACACGCCCTGGGGCCCCGGCAGCCTTCCTGCTATATGCTAGGAAGAGGTCTAGCTCTTCCCTTTTGTTTCTGGATTTCAGTTTCCCTAACTGGAAAGATAGGATTCTTTTTTGTTGTTTGTTTTTTGAGATAGTCATGCTCTGTTGCCCAGGCTGAAGTTGAATCACTGCAACCTCCGCCTCCCAGATTCAAGCGATTCTCCTGCCTCAGCCTCCTGGATAGCAGGGATTACAGATGCACGCCACCACGTCCAGCTAATTTTTGTATTTTTAGTAGAGACGGGGGTCTCGCCATGTTGGCCAGGCTGGTCTTGAACTCCCTACCTCAAGTGTCTGGCTGCCTAGACCTCCCAAAGTGCTGGGATTACAGGCATGAGCCACCACACCTGGCCAAAGAAGAGATGTGATTAGGCCTCTGCGATCCCTCCTTAGCTGAGTGCTTCTGTGACTCTCCAGTCTTCTAGTAGAGAGTCTATAGTTCTAAGATTTTATGATTTCAAAAGTATAAGGTATGGAATATATGCATATAATTTTTCAGGCTAGGATCGATTCTATCTCTCAACCAATCTGTAATTCCAAGAGTTCGTAGAGTGTGGCAATTAAGAGTATAGATTTAGGCCGGGCGCGGTGGCTCAAGCCTGTAATCCCAGCACTGAATCCAGGAAGCGGAGGTTGCAGTGAGCCAAGATTGCGCCATTGCACTCCAGCCTGGGTAACAAGAGCAAAACTCTGGCTCAAAAAAAAAAAAAAAAAAAAAAGAGTATAGATTTCAGGCTGGGCATAGTGGCTCACACCTGTAATCCCAGCACTTTGGGAGGCCGAGGCAGGTGGATCACGTGTGGTCAGAAATTTGAAACCAGTCTGGCCAACATGATGAAACACCATCTCTACTAAAAATACAGAACTTAGCCGGATGTGGTGGCACACGCCTGTGATCTCCGCTACTCAGGAGGCTGAGGCAGGACAGCTGCTTGAACCCACGAGGCAGAGGTTTCAGTAAGCTGAGATCCTGCCACTGTACTCCAGCCTAGGTGACAGAGCGAGACTCTGTCTTAAAAACAAAAAAAAAACAATGCCTGAGTTCAAATCCCAGCTATCCAATTTACAAGCTATGTGGCCTTGGGTAAGTGACTTCACCACTTTGTGCCACAGCTGCCTCATCTGTGAAGTGAAGGTGATAAGAAACCCACCTCCGCTGGGTGCGGTGGTGCACACCTGTTATCCCGGCACTTTGGGAGGCCAAAGCAGTTTGATCACTTGAAGCCAGGAGCTCAAGACCAGCCTGGCCAACATTGTGAAACCCTATCTTTACTAAAAATGCAAAAATTAGCCAGGCATGGTGCCACGCACTTGTAATCCCAGCTACTCGGGAGGCCAAGGCATGAGAATTACTTGAACCTAGGAGGTGGAGTTTGCAGTGAGCCGAGATTGTACCATTGCACTCCAGCCTGGTCGACAGAGCCTCCCTACCTCCTTGGGTTGCTCTGAGGATTAAATGAGGCGATACATGTAGGATGCTTAGAAAAGAGCCTGCCACGTAGGTAGTGATAGGGTTGTCTGTCATCATTGCTACATCACCATCATATTTTTTTTTTTTTTTTTTTTTTTAGAAATGGGGTTTCGCCGGGTGCGGTGGCTCAAGCCTGTAATACCAGCACTTTGGGAGGCTGAGGCAGGTGGATCACGAGGTCAGGAGATCGAGACCATCCTGATCAACACGGTGAAACCCCGTCTCTACTAAAAATACAAAAAAAAAAATTAGCTGGGCATGGTGGCGCGTGCCTGTAATCCCAGCTACTCAGGAGGCTGAGGCAGGAGAATTGCCTGAACCCAGGAGGCGGAGGTTGCGGTGAGCCGAGATCGCGCCATTGCACTCCAGCCTGGGTAACAAGAGCGAAACTCCGTCTCAAAAAAAAAAAAAAAGAAGAAGAAGAAATGGGGTTTCACCATGTTGGCCAGGATGATCGAGATCTCTTGACTTCGTGATGCACCCGCCTCGGCCTCCCAAAGTGCTGGGATTACAGGCATGAGCCATCACACCCAGTCTTGGTGTTTCTACGATTTACTGTGTCTAAGATTCTATTCTTTGAAGATTCTTTGTGGTTCCACAATTCTGTTATTTCTAGGGTCTGTGGTTCTGACATTCTAGTATCCCAAGGCCTTCAGAAACTTTTGGCTCAGGCATCTACAGAAACCCAGCAGGTCAGATTCTCTACAGCCTTCAGCTCCAGGCCAAGGCAGTGGGGCACAGGGTTCACTTACAGGTGGCTTCAGTGGTCCGGCGACTGTACGACTTGCGTACGCGGTACCTCACGACCAGTTCACCTCTTTCCACTGTTGGCTCAAACACTTCTCTGGGGGGATGGGGAGAAGGTGAGGGCAGGGGAAAACCATCTGGAACCCCCTCCTCAAACAGCAGTTGAGCAAGCACCATCCCAGCCTCAAGCCCTGCCTGTCCTCTCCCTTAGTATTTGCTGAGCATGTCGTGGGCAGCTACCTTCTGCCTTCCATTCATTCCCCACAACGCTTGCCCTCATTCCTTTTTTTTTTTTTTTAAACAGAGTCTCACTCTGTCACCCAGGCTGCAGTGCAGTGGTGCAGTCTCAGCTCACCGCAGCCTCTACCTCCTGGGTTCAAGCAATTCTCATGCCTCAGCTTCCCAAGTAGCTGGGACCACAGGCGTGCACCACCATGTCCCGCTAACTTTTGTATTTTTTAGTAGAGATGGGGTTTCGCCATGTTGGTCAGGCTGGTGTCCAACTCCTGACCTCAAGTGATCCACCTGCTTCAGCCCCCAAAGCGTTGGGATTACAGGTGTGAGCCGCCATGCCTGGCTTCCCTTGCCCTCATTCCGATTCTTGGTCATTGCTCCTCCTGCACCAGCCTCCTCACTGGCCTCCCTGCCTCCAGCCCCTCCATCCCAGTCCACACAGCCTCCCCTTGGAGTTCCAACTCACCCGTAACGGGTCTCCTTCTTTCGCCGGTGGACAAGGAAGAGAGCCAAGATGAGGACACAGGCAGCGGCCGCGACTGCTCCTAGCAGTACATACCACCAGGGCCGCGAGAGGGCAGGAGCTGGAGGTTCCTTCACTATCAGGGGGCACGAGGAACAGGTCATGGATGAGACCTCGGATCCAGCTCTCTGTGACCCAAAGGGGTGATGTGGGAGGGAGGCAGAAGGCCTGGGCAACGAAGTGCACATACTCGATGAGGTGTGTGATGGATGCATTCACGTATCGTAATGAGCTGGGCTGGATGGGGCATGCAATGGATATAATACAAGTGCGTGTTGAAGCAGCAGCGTGGGAAAGTTGTAGGATGAGTGAGTTAAGATTGGGACAGAGGCTGGGTGTGATGGCTCACGCCAGTAATCCCAGCACTTTTGAAGTACTTTGGGAGGCCGAGGTGGGTGGATTACTTAAGGCGAGGAGTTTAAAATAAATAGAATAAAAAAAAAGAGGCCGGGCACGGTGGCTCAAGCCTGTAATCCCAGCACTTTGGGAGTCCGAGGCGGGTGGATCACGAGGTCAAGAGATCGAGACCATCCTGGTCAACATGGTGAAACCCCGTCTCTACTAAAAATACAAAAAATTAGCTGGGCATGGTGGCGCGTGCCTGTAATCCCAGCACTTTGGGAGGCCGAGGCGGGTGGATCACGAGGTCAAGAGATCGAGACCATCCTGGTCAACATGGTGAAACCCCGTCTCTACTAAAAATACAAAAAATTAGCTGGGCATGGTGGTGCGTGCCTGTAATCCCAGCTACTCAGGAGGCCGAGACAGGAGAATTGCCTGAGCCCAGGAGGCGGAGGTTGTGGTGAGCCGAGATCGCGCCATTGCACTCCAGCCTGGGTAACAAGAGCAAAACTCCGTCTCAAAAAAAAAAAAAAAAAAAAAGAAAAAGAAAAAAGAAAAAAATGATGTCAACAACAACAACAAAAAAAAAAAAAAAAAAAAAGGAAAGGAGTTCAAGACAGCCTGGCCAACATGGTGAAAAGCTGTGTCATCGCTGCTTTAAAAAAATACAAAAAAGCTGCTGGGCGTGGTGGTGCACACCTGTAATCCCAGCTACTCAGAAGCTGAGACAGGAGAATCGCTTGGATCTGGGAGGTGGAGGTTCCAGTCAGCCAAGATCGGGCCACTGTACTCCAGCCTGGGTAACAGAGTGAGACTCTCTCTCAAAATAAATAAATAAATAAATAAATAAATAAATAAATAAATAAATAAATAAAGGCCCGGTGCTGTGGCTCACACTATAATCCCAGCACTTTTGGAGGCTGAGGCGGGTGTATAACAAGGTCAAGAGATCCAGACCAACCTGGCCAACATGGTGAAACCCTGTCTCTGTTAAAAATACAAAAATAAGCCAGGTGTGGTGGCGTGTGCCTGTAATCCCAGCTACTCAGGAGGCCGAGGCAGGAGAATTGCTTGAACTCAGGAGGCGGAGGTTACAGTGAGCCAAGATCGCACCACTGCACTCTAGCCTGGTGACAGAGCAAGACTCTGTCTCAAAAAAAAAAGAAAAAAAGAAAAAAGAAAAAGAGAGTGGGATGGATATTTGAGGAGTGTGCAGTGAGTGTGGAATGGGAGGGAGAGATGTGTGGAAGGGGTTATGAGTGTGCCAAGAGGGCTAGATGAACATGAGACGGGTGTGGAGAAATCTCAAATAGCAGAGGTTAGTGTGAGAAATGTTATGCTTGTGCAAGGAGGGTGGACTAGAGTGTAGATAAACAGGTGAGTGGGGAAGAGGATCCGTGGGGTGTAGGATGCTGCATGAAGCCTGTGCCAGGAGGGTGAGGCTGGTGGAAGAAGCACTAAGGAATATATTTCAAGGAGTATATACTGACTACAAAAGGGGTTTCTTTCTTCTTTTTCTATTTTTATTTGTTTGTTTGTTTGTGACAGGGTCTCACTCTTGTCGCCCAGGCCAGAGTGCAGAGGTCCAATCTCAGCTCACTACAACCTCCGCCTCCCAGGTTCAAGTGAATCTCCTGTCCCAGCTCCCAAGTAGCTGGGATTACAGGCATGCACCACCATGCCTGCCTAATTTTTGTATTCCTTTTTTTAGTAGAGACAGGGTTTCACCATGTCTCCTGAGTAGCTGAGACCACAGGTCTGTGCCACCTGGCTAATTTTTTTTTTTTTTTTGAGACAGAGTCTCGCTCTGTTGCCCAGGCTGGAGTGCAGTAGCGCCATCTTGGCTCACTGTAGCCTCTGCTTCTCAGGTTCAAGCAATTCCTTTTTTTTTTAAAGACAGGGTTTCACCATGTTGGCCAGGCTGGTCTTGAACTCCTGACCTCAGGTGATCCGCCCGCCTCGGCCTCTCAAATTGCTGAGACTACAGACGTGAGCCACTGCTCCTAGCCAGGTTCAAGCAATTCTTGTGCCCCAGCCTCCTGAGTAGTTGGGATTACAGGCTTGGGCCACCATGCCCAGCTAATTTTTGTATTTTTAGTAGAGACTGGGTTTCCCCATATTGGCCAGGATGGTCTCAAACTCTTGACCTCAGTCAATCCACTTGCCTCGGGCCTCCCAGAGTGCTGGGATTACAGGCATGAGCTGCTGCACCAGGCCACAAGGGTTTCCATAGAGCAAAGAATGAGAGTGAAATAAATATCCAAAGGGGCGTGTAAGCATATACAGGGTTGATGGCTGCTGGAAGAGTTGGGGGTTTGTGAAGTGGGAAGAGTATTCGTGAAGTCTTAGGTACAAGGAATGAGCAAGGAACTTTATGGATGTAATTTCAGTGTGAGAGAAGTGTGCGGTGAGCAGGCAAAACGTGTGAAGAGCAGATGAGGAGTGTGGGATACACAGAAAGGGGCTGTGAAAAGGGCAGGGATGGAATGACCTGTGTAAGAAATGGAGGTGGCTGCCAGATGCTCACACCTGTAATCCCAGCACTTTGGGAGGCCCAGGCGGGCAGATCATGAGGTTAGGAGATCGAGACCAGCCTGGCCAACATGGCGAAACCCCACCTCTACTAAGAATACAAAAATTAACTGGGCGTGGTGGCACATGCCTGTAATCCCAGCTACTTGGGAGGCTGAGGCAGGAGAATCTCTTGAACCCAGGAGGCGGAGCTTGCAGTAAGCTGAAATCACACCACTGCACTCCAGCCTGATGACAGAGCGAGACTCTCTCAAAAAAAAAAAAAAAAAAAAAAAAAAAGGAAAGAAAGAAAGAAAGAGAAAAAGAAAAAAAGAAATGGAGATGGTTATGTGCTGAGTGTGCAAGGCGCATTCAGTGTGACTGCAGACAGCGAGATGGGTTGGGAGGAGTGAAGGGTGAGGGAATGATGTCTTTGGAACGTGGGGTGAGCATGCAAGGAGAATTGGGTGCAAGAAAGTTGTGGCAGCATTTTTCAGTGTTTGCAGTGTGGAAGGTGTGTAAGTGCATACAAGGTGTTCAGGGTTTGTGGATGAGAAGTCTGTGTGTCGGTGGGCCTTGGGAGTCATGTGGGAGGAATGGATTATAATGGGATGTATGTGAAAGAAGGGTGGAGTGAGTGTGGAAAGGGTATGTGAAGAAATGTAGGAAGGTATGTAAGGAGTATTTAAAGCTAGTGGATTGAGTTACTGAAGTGGGCTGCAATAGTGCCCAGAGGGTACAGCAGGTGTAGCGGGAATGTTTGGGAATTGTTGGAGAAATATTTAAGAGGGATGGATGTGAGAAGGATACCTCATCCATCTTCCATCCGTCCATCCATCCATCCATCCATCCACCTTTCTAGGCATCCATTCATCTACTCACAAATCCATCTATCTGTCCATCCATCCACCTGTTCATCCATCCATTTATTCATTCATCCACCCACCCACCCATCTACCCATCCATTTATCCACTCACTATCCAGTCTTTAACTGTTCATCCACCTACCCACCCATCTATCAATCTGTTGACCCACCCACAACCACCCTCCATATATCCATCCATCCATCCAACCACACACCCATCTACCCATCCGCCTATCCATTTATCCACTCACCATCCAGTCTTTTAACTGTTCATCTACCTACCTACCCATCTATTCATCCACTGACCCACCTACCCATCCACCCTCCATCTATCCATCCATCCATCCATTTACTCATCCATCCATTCACCCATCTGTCATTCCCTGAGTACCTACAATGTGCTATGCTAGGCCATTCTGGGCACCTCCATCAAGGACCGCACAAAGTCAAGAAGTAGGTTAGAGTGATGAGTTTGAGAAACATGAAAGGGATGTGCAATGAGTATGAACGGTGACAGGGCCCCCACTAGGCGTGGCGGGTAGGGAGGGAGGAGAGGGGTTGTGGAAGCCCTTACCCAGCTGGTGGACTGGCTGTGCTTCCCCTGTGAGAATAAAGGACAGAGAGGAGACGTGCTCAGAGAGGACAAGACTGGCGTGGTACAGGCAAGGGAGTGAGGGCGTGGCACAGGTAAGGGAGTGAGGGTGTGAAGGTGTGGCACGGGTAGGTGAGTGAGGGGGTGGCATGGGTAGGTGAGTGAGGGCATGGCACGGGTAAGGGAATGAGGGCCTGGCACGGGTAAGGGAGTGAGGCCATGGCACGGGTAAGGGAGTGAGGCCATGGCACGGGTAAGGGAGTGAGGCCATGGCATGGGTAAAGGAGTGAGGGCGGCTCTCGGTAAGGCTCAGGGCAGGAACAGTGCCTAGGTTACAGTAACACTGTAAGGTACAGGGAGGAAGTAAGGCTGTGAGGGAGAGACAAGGTTGAAGCGAGTTGGGCATGGCTTTGGACTTACCTGGGTGCCAGGCCTGCAGGGGTACTGGGAGGCTCCAGGGTCCATCCCCAGCAGCAGTGTAGGCTGCCACGCACACCGTCAGGTTGGCCACAGACCCATCCCCCTGCAGCTCCAGGGTCACCTCTTGCCTTAGCCCTATGTCCATGAGCACCTAGGAGGTCCAGAAGTGGCATCAGGGTAGAACCTCAGCCCCCCAGCTATTAAGCCTCTACGCTTGGCCTCAACACCCCATCTCTTTCTCAAAGCCCTCTCCCCACCCTCCACCCCCCATGCTTCCTCGTCCTCCCCTTTATCTCTTATCCTTTAACCTGCATCCCTCCAACCGCTTCTAGATTCCCCTTCCATCCTCTCCTGCTATGTCAGGCTACTGCTAGCCCCGATACGAGTGCCTTTGTGCAAATCGGGAAAAGGTACTCCTTCCCCAAGCTGCTATACAACCGTCTGCTGTAAAATCCTTACAGTAAACATGAGTGTGCTGAAATTCTTTTGCAGTGCTTCATAAACAGACAGTCCCCATGCCCTCCCCTAGACTGCCTTATTCTCCCAGAATGTGGATGTGGACCTTCCCTGATGAGCCCCACTAGGCGTAGAGCAATTGTGTACTACCCAGCCTGCACAACTGTCCATGTCTGCCCTGATATCTCCTCCTCCCTGTCTCCCTCCTCCCCCAGCCACTCCACTCCAATCCCACCAGCAGCACCCACCTCTGGGGTGTCCTGGCCTTGATACACCAGCCGGTACCCTAACAGGGTACCCTGCAGGGGTGCCCGGGGCTCCTGCCACTGCACAAAGGCCTTGCTCCCATTCCGAGTTGCACTAATGTTCTCAGGGGGGCCCAGGGGCACTGGAGGAAAGGGAAGAGGGGAATTTGGCACTCGTACCTCTTCCTGACCCCCTCCCCTGTTCCCAGGAAGTGGGTGCAGGGTGCCAAGGACACGCACGTGGGCAGCTCATGCAGGCCTCCCATAAGCGGAAGCGTTGGGGAGAGGAGGGCTGGGAAAGAGGTCAGTGAGGGGTCAGAGACTGGACGGGAAGGAGATCGAGGCCATGATGGGGAAAAGGGTGAGAGGGGACAATGGGGGTGGCACTGATGTAAGCGAGATCCAGTGGGGCAGTGGTGACGTCTCCCTTGCCAGCCCTTCTTACCTCCCTCGGGTGTCGCCACAGGAAGCCAGTGGGTCCAGGGTGAGGAGCCCTGGCTGCTGGTGCATGCCACGCGGATATGGTAAGGGGTGTGAGGATGGAGGCTGCCCAGCCGAAGCTGGTGGGGGGGCACGGATGCTTGCAAGGTGAGGGGCTCCTCGGGGGGATCTGGTTCTCCCGCCTGGATGCCTACCCCATCGTCTGACAGCACTGCCTGGGGAGAGGGAAGGTGTGAAGACAGGATAATCACGCAGTCACACAAGATGGTCACACAGCTCCCAATCGTGGTGGCCCCTGTGTGACGGCACAACGTTGCACAGGTGTGTGTATGTGTGTGTGTGTGTGTGCTGCAGCGCCTTGCCAGGTCAACACTGGCACCTGGATTTGCAAAGCAAGGAGCTCGTTTAGCTGCACCGTGTGGTTCTGTCATCACTTTCAAAAGCTACCTCTGAGCCGGGCACGGTGGCTCAAGCCTGTAATCCCAGCACTTTGGGAGGCTGAGGTGGGCAGATCACGAGGTCGAGAGATCGAGACCATCCTGGTCAACATGGTGAAACCCCGTCTCTACTAAAAATACAAAAAATTAGCTGGGCATGGTGGCGCGTGCCTGTAATCCCAGCTATTCAGGAGGCTGAGGCAGAATTGCTTGAACCCAGGAGGCGGAGGTTGCGGTGAGCTGAGATCGTGCCATTGCACTCCAGCCTGGGTAACAAGAGCGAAACTCCATCTCAAAAAAAAAAAAAAAAAAAAAAAAAAAAAAAAAAAAAAGCCACCTCTGTGGCTTAAGCCTGTAATCCCAGCACTTTGGGAGGCCGAGGCGGGTGGATCACGAGGTCAAGAGATCGAGACCATCCTGGTCAACATGGTGAAACCCCGTCTCTACTAAAAATACAAAAAAAAAAATTAGCTGGGCGCCGGGCGCGGTGGCTCAAGCCTGTAATCCCAGCACTTTGGGAGGCCGAGGCGGGTGGATCACGAGGTCAAGAGATCGAGACCATCCTGGTCAACATAGTGAAACCCCGTCTCTACTAAAAATACAAAAAATTAGCTGGGCATGGTGGCTCGTGCCTGTAATCCCAGCTACTCAGGAGGCTGAGGCAGGAGAATTGCCTGAACCCAGGAGGCGGAGGTCGCGGTGAGCCGAGATCGCGCCATTGCACTCCAGCCTGGGTAACAAGAGCGAAACTCCGTCTCAAAAAAAAAAAAAAAAAAAAATTAGCTGGGCGTGGTGGCGGGTGCCTGTAATCCCAGCTACTCAGGAGGCTGAGGCAGGAGAATTGCCTGAACCCAGGAGGCGGAGGTTGCAGTGAGCCGAGATCGCGCCATTGCACTCCAGCCTAGGTAACAAGAGCGAAACTCCGTCTAAAAAAAAAAAAAAAAAAGCCACCTCTGGCCACACCCTAACCTCTCCGAGCCTCAGTTTTCTCCTTGGGCAAATGGGGCCTTGGAGAATCAGATGCCTTACAGGATTGTTTAAAGATTAAATGTAGTTATGCCCAAAGGAAGCCACAGTGCAAGGCGAGTGGGTGAGCGGTGAGCACTGATAATAATGATGCATAGTGAGTGTGTTGATGATAACAGTGCAGATAGACCAGGTAGGGCGGCTCACGCCTGTAATCCCAGCACTTTGGGGGGACGAGGTGGGTGGATCACTTGAGGTTAGGAGTTCGAGACCAGCCTGGCCAATGTGGTGAAACCCTGTCTCTTCCAAAAATACAAAAAATTAGCTGGCTGTGGTGGGGCTCGCCTGTAATCCCAGCTACTCGGGGGGGCTGAGGCAGGAGAATCGCTTGAACCCAGGAGGCAGAGGTTGCAGTGAGCCGGGATCACACCACTGCACTCCAGCCTAAGCGACAGAGCGAGACTCTGAAATAATAATAATGCAAATAATAAAAGCACGATACTGTGAGATCCCATTTATAGGACATTATACTATAGGCAAAAGCAATCTTCTAGAAGCAGAAGGGTAGTCATCTCTGAGGCCTGAGGGAGCCTTCTTGAAGACTGAAAGAGTCTGTGTCTTGATTTGAAGGGTGGTTACATGGTGAATATGTGTGTAAAACAATCTCAAGGGTGTCCAATCTTTTGGCTTTCCTGGGCCATAGTAAGAGAAGAATTGTCTTGGGCCACACATAAAATACACTAACACTAACAATAGTTGTTGAGCTTAAAAAAAAAAAAAAATCACAAACAAATCTCTTTTTTTTTTTTTTTTTTTTGAGATGGAGTCTCACTGTGTCACTCAGGCTGGAGTGCAGTAGTGACATGATCTCAACTCACAGCAACCTCTGCCTCCTGGGTTCAAGCGATTCTCCCGTCTCAGCCTCCTGAGCAGCCAGGACCACAGGTGTGCGCCACCACACCTGGCTAAAATCTCATAAAGTTTTAAGAAAGTTTATGAATTTGCGTTGGGCCGAATTCAAAGCCATCCTGGGCCACATGTGTTAGACAAGCTTGATCTAGAGGTGCACTGAAGATTATGCATGTAACGAGTCTCATTTCATCACCCGGGCTGGAGTGCAGTGGTGCGATCTTGGCTCACTGCAACCTCTGCCTCCCAGGTTCAGGCTATTCTCGTGCCTTGGCATCCCAAGCAGATGGGGATTATGGGCATGTGCCACCACGCCTGGCTAGTGCTTTTTTTTTTTTTTTTTTTTTTTTTTTTGAGACGGAGTTTCACTCTTGTTACCCAGGCTGGAGTGCAATGGCGCGATCTCGGCTCACCGCAACCTCCGCCTCCTGGGTTCAGGCAATTCTCCTGCCTCAGCCTCCTGAGTAGCTCGGATTACAGGCACACACCACCATGCCCAGCTAACTTTTTGTATTTTTAGTAGAGAAGGGGTTTCACCATGTTGACCAGGATGGTCTTGATCTCTTGACCTCATGATCCACCCGCCTCGGCCTCCCAAAGTGCTGGGATTACAGGCTTGAGCCACCGTGCCCGGCCTCTGGCTAGTGTTTTTGTTTGTTTTTTTTTGAGACAAAGTCTTGTTCTGTCACCCAGGTCGGAGTGCAGTGGTGTGATTTCGGCTCACTGCAACCTCGACCTCCCAGATTCAAGCAATTCTCCTGTTTCAGCCTCCCAAGCAGCTGGGGCTACAGGCATGTGCCACCATGCCCAGCTTTTTTGTAATATTAGTAGACACGAGGTTTCACCATGTTGGTCAGGCTGTTCTTGAACTCATGACCTCAAGTGATCCGCCCGCCTCAGCCTCCCGTCCTGTTCCTAGAGTCTTCGCTGTACTAGTGGTAAGAATATAAGTAATAGTAACACCTCTTATCTGTGCACAAAGACAGTTTAGCCTAGTGCTGAGGAGCATGGATGCTCAGTCTGGGGCTCAGATCCAGGCTCTACCATTCCCTAGCTGTGGGTCTCAGTCTTCCCATCTGTAAAATGGGATGGCAGTGGCTCCCTGCTTCACAGGTTGACTGAATTAGGGCATATCAGCATTTAGAAGACTGCTTGTACATACTGAGTGTTTGCCACTTACTATTATTATTATTTTTGAGATGGATTCTCACTCTGTCACCCAGGCTGGAGTGCAGTGGTGCGATCTCCGTTCACTGAAACCTCCACCTCCTGGGTTCAAGCAATTCCCTGCCTCAGCCTCCTGAGTAGCTGGGATTATAGGCACCTGCTACCATGCCCAGCTAATTTTTGTATTTTTAGTAGAGATGGGTTTCACCATCTTGGCCAGGCTGGACTTGAACTCCTGACCTCGTGATCCACCCTCCTCAGCCTCCTAAAGTGTTGGGATTACAGGCATGAGCCACCGCGCCCGGCCTGTTACTTATGATTTTATGTGCATTTCCCGGTAACAAATGTCAAGCTCTGCATAGCGGCACAGGCTCTCACACCTATTCCACCCCAGGAATGGCACACTCAGGATGGAGGGGCCACCGCTGTTGTATACACCTATACAGCCTTGCCACATGGAACCGCAAAACCCCCATAACCACACAACTCACAGCCACGCAATGCAGCAGCCACCAGCTTCCCCTTCACCCTGGAGACCCCAGCCACACCGTCACACAGTATGTCAGAAAGGAGTTTACTGCTACACGGTGTGGGCTCTAAAGCTAGACTCCTTGGCCCTAAGTCCTGGGTTGGATGCTGTTTGCTGTGTGACCTAGAATGAGTGTCTTAACTTCTCTGAGTCTCAGTTTCTGTCTCTGGAAAATGAGCATCACAGTTCCTACTTGTCAGGGTATAAGGTTTAACGACATGATGTATATAAACTGTTTTGCGCATTATAATTGTCAACAGCTAATACTTGTTTTCCTTCTTTCCTCTTCTCCTCTCTTTCCTTACTTCCTTCCTTTCTCTCTCTTTCTCTCTTCCTCCCTCCCTCCCTTCCTTTCTTCTCTTTCTTCCTCTTTTTCTTTCTTCTTTCTTTCTTTTAGGACTCTCTGTCACACAAGCTGGAGTGCAGTGGTGCAAGCACAATTCCACCTAATTTTTTAATTACTTAGAGAGACACGGTTTCAACGTGTTGACCAGGCAGGTCTCGAACTCCTGGGCTCAAGCGATCCACCTGCCTCGACCTCCCAAAGGGCTAGTATTACAGGTGTGAGCCATGACACTCAGCATAGCTAACAATTCTTCAGTGCCAAATATGTATCTAGCTCCTGGTCGAGCACATTCCTGAATGAACTCATTGACTTCGCACTACTACCCTATGGGGTCAATTTCCTTTCTCAACCCCGTTTTACAGACAGCGAAGCCAAGGCCCAGAGAGGTTCAGCAACTTGCTCAAAGTCACACAGTCCCCATGATGGGAAACGACACCACCGTGAGACCTGGGGAGGAGTGGGGGCAGATGGTGGATGTGAGGATGGAAGAGGGGGTGAGGCTGTCCCCACGCTCCTCTCTGACCCACAGTGACAGACAGGAAGAGGAACCTCAACCAGGACTCCCCATGCCTGCTCCCACTTCTCTTTTCCCTGTGACCCTCCCACTGGAACTCTTCAGCCCTAGCCCATGTGCAGCAGGAAGTGAGACCTGGAGAGGGAAGAGGACACACTTCTGCTTTCCTGGGGACACTTGGTGGATGTGGGCAGGGGCGCAGCTGATGCCCGACCTGGCATTTGAGGTCTCCCAAATCCAGCTGACCTCTGGGATTGAATCTCAGCTTTCGCTTTCTAGCCGAGGGGAGGGGAGGAGAGTGGGGAAAGGTCACTTCCCCTCTCTGGGCCTCCGTTCCTTACCTTGAAAACGACAAGATTCATAGCCACTGTTTTTTGTTTTTTTCTTTTGAGACAGTGTCCCACTCTTTCACCCAGGCTGGAGAGCAGTGGTTCAATCATGCCTCACTGCAGCCTCGACTGTCTAGATATCGTTTGAAGTCGGTAATTTGCATTCACTCATTGAATTTTTACACTAAGCATAGCAGGTAGGCACTACCATTATGTCCATTTTGTAGACGAGAAAACTGAGGCCCAGAGAGATTAAGCCACCTGCCCAAGCTCACGTAGCCAGCAGGTGGTAGAGCCGGCATTCGAACCCAGGACATCTGGCTTAACCCCCAAGGCTCTATTGCTTCTCAGCAGTGGCCAAGAAAGGGTGGGTTCCCAGGGAGAGGATGGGGCTTGGGGGGGTGGGTGGAAAGAGGCCTGAGACTGAAGTGAGCCAAGTTTTGGGGTCTCACCTGCAGAGTGCAGTGGGTCAGGGGGTAGATGCCGCTCAGGCCTGGAGTCCAAGCCACCTCCAGCTCCGTGGGTTGGCGGGAGACCAGATGGAGGTCACGGGGCTGCTGGGGGAGCACTGTGGAGAAACCAGAGGGATTGACCCTGGGGAGTCTTTGCTCAAAGCTCTCTACCCTGCTCTCTGGCCCCACTCGGCCCCCTGACCTAAGCCCCACCCTCTGAAACCCAGCTCCCCAGCTCCCAACCCTGTCACCTGTGATGGTGGCCGTGCGGGATGTGGTGACCCCCTTGGCATTATGGGCTTCGCAGGAGAAAGAGGAAGTCTTGTTCAGTCCTAGGGAGTCATATGAGGGGAGGACCCAGGATCAGAGAGGGGCAGGAAGGGCTCCCGGGCCAACACACGCCACTATACAACATACATCAGTCCCCTTTTATCTAAAGCATCACTTTATTTTTATTTATTTATTTATTTTGGAGACCGAGTTCCACTCATATTGCCCAGGCTGGAGTGCAGAGGTGCGATCTCGGCTCACTGCAGTTTTGATCTCCTGGGCTCAAGCAATCCTCCCGTCTCATCCTCCTGAGTAGCTAGGACTAGAGGCAGCCACCACCACACTTGGCTAATTTTTAAATTTTTTTGTAGAGAAGAGGGGTCTCACTATGTGAGACAGGCCAAGGCTTCACTTTTAGAGGTTTCAGTTACTCTTGGTCCAAAAACAGTCAATGGAAAATTCCAGCTATAACTCCTAAGTTTTAAATTGCCTGCTGTTCTCAGTACTGTGATGAAACCTCGTGCCATCCTGCTCTGGTCGGCCTGGGATGTGAATCCCCTTTGTTCAGCATCTCAGTGCTGTATCTGATATCTGTCTGTGAGTCACTCAGCTATCAGATCGACTCTCCTGGTATTGCAGTGCTGCTGTTCAAGGAACCTTTATTTTTCTAAATAATGGCATGGCCAGGTGCTGTGGCTCACGCCTGTAATCCCAGCACTTTGGGAGGCCAAGGTGGATGGATCCCTTGAGTTCAGAGTTCAGGACAAGCCTGGGCAACATATCGAAACCCCCATCGCTACTAAAAATACAAAAGATCAGCCGGGCATGGTGGCGGATGCCTGTAATCCCAGCTACTCAAGAGGTTGAGGCACGATAATCACCAGAACCTGAGCAGTGGAGGTTGCAGTGAGCAAAGTTCGCGCCACTGCCCTCCAGCCTGGGAGACAAAGCAAGGCTCTGTCTCAAAAAAAAAAAAAAAGCCGGGCACGGTGGCTCAAGCCTGTAATCCCAGCACTTTGGGAGGCCGAGGCGGGTGGATCACAAGTTCGAGAGATCGAGACCAACCTGGTCAACATGGTGAAACCCGGTCTCTACAAAAAAAAAAATACAAAAAATTAGCTGGGCATGGTGGCACGTGCCTATAATCCCAGCTACTCAGGAGGCTGAGGCAGGAGAATTGCCTGAACCCAGGAGGCGGAGGTTGCGGTGAGCCGAGATAGTGCCATTGCACTCCAGCCTGGGTAACAAGAGCGAAATTCCGTCTCAAAAAAAAAAAAAAAAAAAAGGCCCCAAGGTACAAAATAGTGATGGCGGCCGGGCGCGGTGGCTCAAGCCTGTAATCCCAGCACTTTGGGAGGCCGAGGCGGGTGGATCACGAGGTCGAGAGATCGAGACCGTCTGGTCAACATAGTGAAACCCCGTCTCTACTAAAAATACTAAAAAAAAAAAAATTAGCTGGGCATGGTGGCGCGTGCCTGTAATCCCAGCTACTCAGGAGGCTGAGGCAGGAGAATTGCCTGAACCCAGGAGGCGGAGGTTGCGGTGAGCCAAGATCGCGCCATTGCACTCCAGCCTGGGTAACAAGAGCGAAACCCCGTCTCAAAAAAAAAAAAAAAAAAAAAAAAATCACATATACAGAAGTTGCTAAGATCTACAATAAGAAACAATGTATCAGGCCAGGCGCGATGGCTCACGCCTGTAATCCCAGCACTTTGGGAGGCCGAGGCGGGTGGATCACGAGGTCAAGAGATCGAGACCATCCTGGTCAACATGGTGAAACCCCGTCTCTACTAAAAATACAAAAATTAGCTGGGCATGGTGGCGCACGCCTGTAGTCCCAGCTACTAGGGAGGCTGAGGCAGGAGAATTGCTTGAACCCAGGAGGCAGAGGTTGCGGTGAGCCAAGATCGCGCCATTGCACTCCAGCCTGGGTAACAAGAGCGAAACCCCGTCTCAAAAAAAAAAAAAAAGAAACAATGTATCTGCGAAATTATGGCAGAAAAAGAAAGCTATGCACAGTATACAAAGGGTTTAAAATTATTCATATGATGGAGGATAAGGGGAACTACTCAACATAGATACACATAGAAACATAGACAACCCCCACTTCCCCCCACACACAATGTCTAGGAGGTAAGAAGGATCAATTTTTTCATTTTTGTTTTTATTTTTGAGACAGGGTTTCATCATGTTGGCCAAGCTGATCTCGAACTCCTGACCTCAGGTGATCCACCCACCTTGGCCTCCCAAAGCGCTGGGATTACAGGCATGAGCCACTTGCCTGGCTTCGTTTTGTCTTTTGAGACAGGGTCTTACTCGGTCACCCAGGCTGGAGTGCAGTGGCACAATCACGGCTCACTGCAGCCTTGACCTCCAGGGCTCAAGAGATCCTCCTGTCTCATCCTCCTGAGTAGCTGGGACTACAGGCGGCCACCACTCTTGGCTAATTTTTTTAATTTTTTTGTAGAGAAGAAGGGAGTGGGGGAGGGTCTCACGATGTTGCCGAGGCTGGTCTCGAACTCTTGGCCTCAAGCTATCCTCCCGCCTCAGCCTCCCAAAGCGCTCGGATTGCAGACTGAGCCACTCCGTGCCCAGCCCCGGGACCGAGTCTTGCAAGTACAACTGCAATTCTGCGTGTTGTTTACGCCTGTGCTTGTACATCTGTGTCTGCGTTTCTGAGCTGGTGTGTTTGTGGCCCTGCGTGTATCTGTGGATGGTGTGTACGTGCATGCCTTATCTGTGTGCCTGTTTCTCGTGTTTGCTTCGTGCGGATGCGCCCATGTTCCCTCCGCGTTCGCGGGGGAGGCTCTCCATCCACCGACACAAAGTTTACTTTTCTCTGTCAGCGGAGGGAGTGGAATGGGACAAAGTCTGCAGAGGCCGGAAGCGGGTGGGTAGGGGAGCTCCTCATCCACAGCTTCCTAGGTGGCCATTCCCAGCCAAGGTCAGGTGCCCGCGCCACAGCCCCCGCGTCCCGCAGCCCCCGCGCCGGCAGAAGGAGAAACAGTACAGTCCCGGGCTGATGGCCCAACAAGGGGTGGGGAGCCTGGGTCGGGTCCAGCCACCTGGCACGTGGGGCCCCGCCAGGGTCAGCGAGCGGGAGCTGGCGCTGCTGGGTTTTGGAGTCGGGTCCGTTCCGACCGCAGCATTCCCACCCCCGCGTGAGTCACGGGGGCACCTCCCCACCCCAGCGCTTCCGGCCGGCCTCCCGGGCTCGGCTCGGAGCCAGAGCGGGGATCCCCCTTCCCAGGCCCCAACGGCCCACACCTTGAGTGAAGGGGACAGGAGGGACTGGGACCCCTTCCCCTCCAGAGGGCTGTTGCTTTACCCCAGGAGGACAGGAGCAGGCCGACTCCAGATGTGCTTTCCAGATGTTCCGACCATTCCCCCACAGCCCCTGCTCTCCTCCCCAGCTTTTCCAGAGAGAGGGAGGGATGGAAGGAGGGGCACACCCTGAGTCAGATAGAGGGACAGCCACACACAAACGGACAAAATTCCTTCACATAGCACCCCCCCAACACACACTCACAATGAATCACATTTAAACACACAGCGGCCCTTATTAGCACAGATTCACAGAAAACGCAGCACTTGATAAGTTAATGGCACAAGATACTCAAGGGCTGATGTCACAAAAACACAGTGATTCACACATATACACACAGGGGCTGATGCTGATGCACATTCATAAAGAGACACACGCAAACAAGCCAGCGTGGGACAGACACATGAACACACAATCGCATGTGTACACATTAATTACGAACACCTAGCAACATAATCTACATCTAGGCTGTTGCTGACACAGAGAAGCCTAAACACCCTTGTATAGTGAGAGACACACACCAAGCAACAGCATACCGGGAGTCGAGGTGGACAGATAGATACACACCAAGACACAATGAAGGGTCACGTTGACCTGCTCAGACACAGACACATCGATGCGAACCAACACACAGCCAAGCCTTCACCTGCGAGGTAAGATGAAGCTGGATGCACCCAGGTGGCTTCATGTTCACCAAGACACAGACTGATGCAAAAAACACAGTTGCAATGGGTGTGGTGGCTCACGCCTGTAATCCCAGCACTTTGGGAGGCCAGGATGGGTGGATCACAAGGTCAGGAGTTTGAAACTAGCCTGGCCGACATGGTGAAACCCCGTCTCTACTAAAAATATAAAAATTAGCCAGGTGTGGTGGCACACGCCTGTAATCGCAGCTACCCGGGAGGCTGAGGCAGGAGAATGGCCTGAACCTGGAAGGCGGAGGTTGCAGTGAGCCGAGATCGTGCCACTGCACTCCAGCCTGAGCCACAGAGCAAGAATCCACCCCCCACCCACCACCAAAAAAAAAGACATGCTATGAAGACCCAAATACACACTGGGACAGAATCCAAGCTGAAGGAAATTTAGTAGCACACACACACACACACACATACACACACACACACACACACCGCACACATAGGACATCCACAGAAGTCCACCCTTGCCAAGGCACACCCTCACACAGAGGTTGTGTTTACGGATACACTAACACTCGGATCCAGAGCCACACGGATATCCAGTCCCCCACCACCGCACAGACAGGCACAGCCCCTCGCACCTGTGTAGCCCCCATTTCTCTCCCTCCCCTCCCCTTCTCAGGGGACCTGCCAGTCTGACTCATGCCCCAGCCCCATCCCTGGTCCCTGCTGGGCCACTCACTCGAGCCATGGGCCTGAGTCAGCCCTCTGGGGCCAGCACGCCCACCAGGTCTTCCTTGCAACTCAGGGTCCCAGGAATGTTGGGAATGTGAACCCCTCCCTCCACCTTGGAGACCCCCAGCCAGAAGGCCCCTCATTCCAGCGGAGAGAGGCAGCAGGTTGGGAGCACAGGAAGCTGATACCCTGCAGGCTGCAGACTCCTCCCTTTCCAGAGCCTCTGCCATCTGCTCCTGTCTTTCCTCCTTCAATAGGGAGAATCCCCAGCGTCCAGGGTTCCCCCAGTCATGCCTGTGAACATTGCGTAGCCGAGCTTGGTCCTGCCTCGTCTGTGTGGTGCAGAAAGGTATGGTCATCCTGAAGGAGAGGGTTTCTGTCACTCAGACTTCCCTATCCTGTCTTTTTTGTTTTGTTTTGAGGTGCATTCCTGCTCTGTCGCCCAGGCTGGAGTGCAGTGGCCCAATCTCAGCTCACTGCAACCTCTGCCTCCTGGGTTCAAGCAATTCTCCTGCCTCAGCCTCCCAAGGAGCTGGGACTACAGGTGCCCGTCGCCACGCCTGACTAATTTTTGTATTTTTGGTAAAGATGGTGTTTTGCCATGTTGGTCAGGCTGGTCTTGAACTCCTGGCCTCAAGTGATCCACCTGCCTCAGCCTCCCAAAGTGCTCGGATTATAGGTGTGAGCCACCACGCCCGGCCTCCCTGTCCTGTCTGCGTCCATCTTGGGTCACTATGACCTGTCACTTCCAGTGTATCTCATTCTGTCTCTCTCTGTCTCCCGTTTTCTCCCTGATCTCTCTTCCTTGGGTTCAGTCTCCCCAGGGGACCTGAGCTGGCCATCTTTGCTTTGACCCAGGCCAGGAGGGCTCATTAGGGCAGGAGGTGGGCCAGTTGTGGCGGGAGGTGGAGGAGAGGAGGGCATAGTTGATTCTGGTGCCCTGGTTGGATCAAGGGCTGACAAAGGGGCACCAGGCCCACACACACTCGGGTCATGGAACAGCTCAGAGGAAACCCAGGACAAAGAATTCTATTCAGAGAGAGGCTGGGGTGAATGGAGGGAGAGAGAAGCAGAGACACAAGACACAGACACACAAACACACACACACATACATACACACACACACACACACACACACACACACACAGAGAAAGAGAGAGACAGAAAGACACACAGACACCAAGAGACAGAAAAAGACAGAAAAAGGCATATGGAGAGAAACAAGATAGGTAGAGACAGAGAGGCAGACACAGACTCAGAGGGAGAAACAGAGACAGACAGTGAGGGGCACAAGGGCAGTCAAACACTCTTGGAGAGGCAGTGATGCTCCCTTGCTCCTGACTTCAGCCCTGCCCCGCCCTCTGTGTGAAGCTGACCCCATCCCTGGACTCACCTGGAACATGCAGGCTGCGCTGGGGGCCGTGACCCGGAGCTGTGGCCAGGGGGACAGCATCCTGCAGCCACAGTAGGTCCACAGGCTCTGGGGGTCCCTGGGCTTGGCAGCTCAGGTTGAAGGGGGTGTTGGCAGCCACAGTCCTGTCCTCAGGCTCCTCCAGGAAGTAAGGGAGGCCTAGGGGGGTGGGCAGTGGTAGAGGCTGGAGTCCCTCTGAGCCCCTCAGATGTCTGACCCACCACTAGGATGCTGTAAGCTTTGGGCAGCAAACCCACCCTGCAGGGTCATTGACCTGCCTGTATCTGATCCCCAAGGACACCTGAGCCTAACCCCAACACATGTGACCCCAATATCTGATTCCCTCCAGGTCAGATCGCCCCCAAGACAGCTGAGCTCCTCATGTCTCTCTTCCAGAATGTCTGACAGCTCATCCTCATCTCATTCTACCAATGAGGAAAATGAGGCCGCTGGGGTCGTGGGGAGAGGGGTCCATTGCATGCCTCTGATGCCTTAGCTGAAGCCCAGAATGGCCTCCTGTGACCTGATGCCCAGGACATCCAACTAACCCCAGGAAGTCTTTTCACCCAGAACATATAATCCCCCCAGCCTTGCTCCCATAATTTATCTGGACTCCCAGCTTCCTGACCCCCCAAAATTCTGACATTCCTAGGCCATATGTCACCTAGGGTCACCCTGAATCCTCCAGCACCTCTGATCCCCCAGGATTCCTGCTCCACAACCTATGGGCGCCATACATCCTCTGACCTCTCGGGACCCCTGACCGCAGAGCTCACCCTCCAGCCCTATGTAGCCAGGCTGGGACACGTAGGACTGATCTCTCAGAAACACCAAACACTGGTACTGTCCTGCATCTGAAAGCTGCAGGGACTCGATTCTGACGGGCAAGAGGAGAGACAGAAAGGTTTGGGTCAGAGCTGGACACTGGGAGGGGGTCTGTCAGAATGGAAAGAGGGGTCCAGCCTGGAAGCTCATGAGGATGATGAAGTAGGTCCTATTATTATTATTATTTTTGAGACAGAGTTTAGCTCTTGTCGCCCAGGCTGGAGTGCAATGGCGAGATCTCGGCTCACTGCAGCCTCCGCCTCCCAGATTCAAGCGATTCTCTTGCCTCAGCCTCCCGAGTAGCTGGATTTGCAGGCCATGTACCACTACACTGGCTAATTTTGTATTTTTAGTAGAGACAGGGTTTCTCCTTGTTGGTCAGGCTGGTTTTGAACTCCTGACCTCAGGTGATCCTACCAAAGCGCTGGGATTACAGGTATGAACCTTTGCGCTGGCCATTAGGTCCTATTATTAACTCAATTTGCAGAAGAGGAAAGCGAAACCTTGAGGTTCCATCACATGCTGGAAACCACACAACTGACAAGAGGTCCAGCCAGGGTTCCCACCCAGGTGGGCTCTCTGCCCCTTGCACGATGGGGGTGAGGGTGGGACTCGGGGGCGGCCGCATACCTGAGCTGGCTGAACAATATCCAGTCATTCTCCTCCTCGTCACCCAGGGGCACCTGGGTCTGGGTGATGTCTGCGATCTCCAGGATCTGTCCGTCCTGAAGCCAGTGCACCTCGGGAGGCTCTCCCCGAACCCGAACTTGGAGCTGACACCGAAGGGTCCCTGTGAGTCCCCGGGCACCTGTGATATTCACTGGGTGGCCCACGAAGGGGCTTTCTTCAGCCTGTGTGCCTGCGGGGGAAATGGGAAGCGTTCGCTTAGGAACTTCCCGGCTCCTTCCGGCCTTCCGTTCGGGCCTTCAGTTCCACCCGGGCCCTGCCTGCCTGCCCACCGCCCGCCAGGACCCCGCCAGGCCCTCAGGCCACATAGTTGCAGAGTGACCTCAGAGGGGGGGCGGAGGGCGGAGGCTCTGAGAGGAGGATGGGAGCTTTCCCAGGGGACTGGGGTCCAGAGTCCATCCCGTCGGGGAAGGAGGCTCGGGATCTGGCAGCCTCCCACGCCCCGGACTGCCTGCCCCTCCTTCCTCTCTTAGGGTCTCTAGAGACTTAGATTGCTTGGCGCTGGTGGATGGGGGGGGGGAGACATGGAGGCGGGGAGAGGGAGATTGGGGTGGAGAGGGAGGGAGAAGCCAGAGAAAGAAGGCACGGGAGACAGAGAGGAGCAGAGATTCAGAGAGAGACAGAGATACGGAGGAGTCAGGCCCAGAGAAAGTCAGGAGGCGAGATAGAGGAGCAGAGATACAGGGGGAGACAAAAAACGGTGAAGAAACGGCCCTCAAGAGAGAAGACAAGAGGGGGACAAACGGGGGAGACAGTCACAGAGGGAGGCTGAGAAGAGAGAGACTTAGGGAGCAGGCAGAGAGAAAGGCAGAGACTGTGAGAGACACAGAGGCCCAGAGAGAGCAGAGCTGGAGGCAGAGACAGAGAGACAAAGTGGGACACTCCCCCCCAGAGATGGAGCGGACTGGTGGGGCAGGGACAAGTTTGGGGGAGGGGGGTCAGAATTGGCAGGGACAAGCGTTTTCCCCCAGGGCTCCAGAGCCCTCCTCATCCCGACACCCGGCCCAACTTGGTGGCACTTTGAGAAGATTTCATCTTTCCCCGCACCCCGCAGCTCGGCTCCTCTCTCCTCGGCCCCCTTCTCAGGTCCAGCCTCCGCCCCTGCCCTGAGCTTCTCCTTGCCTGTCTGTCCTCCCGGCCCTTCTGTTCCTCTCTCAGTCTTTCGCTCCCTTTGCTGCTCTTAGTGAGTCTCTTGAGTCTGTGTCTCCCTCTCTTGAAGTCCCTTTTCTGTTGTCCCAAAGAAACTCCCTAAGCCAGCCCAGGCCCCCCCCAACACCTGCCACTGTCCCCCACCTCCTACCCCTGTCCCAGCCCCTCCGAGTGGGTCCCTCCCCCAAGGAGCCCCCCATCACTCACCCCTGGGGGCCGCGCACGCCCAGACGCACAGCACCAAGCACCAGGCCAGCGGGACCCTGTCCATCCTGGTGCACCGCCACGCCACGGGTGCCACACTTTCCTCAGAAGTTGCTGGGCTCCCTGCAGAGGAGGGGGCAGGGCCGGGCTGTCCCCAGCCCTCCCCCCAGCTCCGGGCTCCCCGGATTTGGCACTGCCTGCCTGGCACAGTGGCAGGGGGGCCCTCTCCCCCCCCCACCCCGGCTCGGCTCACAGCCGCCTTCCCAGCACCCCTGCCTCCTTCTCTCACTCCTAGACTCAGGCAACCCTTTCTCCGCCCCTGGCTCCCCCTTTGCCTCCGCCCACCGGGGCCAGAGCCCAGGGGCCACCTGGACTGTCAGGGGTTAACTCAGAGAGGAACGGATCAGCCCTTTCTTAAAGGGGCCAGGAAGGGAGCCGAGGAGGGGGAAGGGGACCCTGGCGGCTGTGTCCCAGTCCTGGGCCAGTGAGGCTGTGGGTCTCTCTATCCGCGCTCTGGGCGCTGTCCCTCTGGACTGTGTGTCTGGTAAACATTCCTCCCGAACTCCACTCCCCTCTCAGCTCAGCCCATGATGCCCCTCTCCCCGCCTCCACCCCCTGCCCAGCCCCAGCCAGGCCTCCTTGGCCCTCCACTCCCCCTCACTCTCACGGCCCTCTGCGGACAAGGACACACACACTCACTCTCTCACTCACACTCACTCACTCACACTCTCTCTGTCTCTCTTAGACGTCATTGACACGCAGAGGCCAGGACAGGCAGAGACATGCAGAGGGACCCAGACACGCAGGGGCACGCTGCTGGGCCACAGACACACTTAGACACGCCGGGCCAGGAGCTTGATTCCTGGAGAAAACTGAGAAACAGGAGCACGCTGCTGGGTGGGCATCCATGGGGAACACTTACTTGGGGAGACATGGATCTTCAGACGCACCAACACCCACGTGGACACGTGAATGGAACACCAATATACAGGCGACACGGAAGGGGGCCTGAGTTGGAATCCCAGTGCTACCACTAACTGTGGGCTACAGACAAGGGACTGGCCTCCTGAGCCTCAGTTTGTCCATCTGTAAAATGGGAAGAAGAACAGAGTTGTTGGCCAGGCACAGTAACTCACTCCTGTTTGGGAGGCCAAGATGGGAGGATCGCTTGAGTCCAGAGGTTTGAGACCAGACTGGTCAGTGCAGTGAGACCCCTAGCTCTACAAAAAGTTTAAAAATTGCCAGGCACAGTGGCTCAGCCTGTAATCCCAGCACTTTGGGAGGCCGAGGGGAGGGTGGTGGATCATGAGGTCAGGAGTACGAGACCAGCCTGACCAACATGGTGAAACTCCTTCTCTACTAAAAATATAAAAACTAGCTAGGCATGGTGGCAGGAGCCTGTAGACCCAGCTATTCAGGAGGCTGAGACAGGAGGATCACTTAAACTCGGGAGGCAGAGACTGCAGTGAGCTGAGGCAGCACCACTGCACTTCAGCCTGGGCCACAGAGTGACACTCCCTCTCAAAAAATAAAAAAAAAATAAAAAATAAAATTTAAAAATTAATGGGGTATCACGGCATGTGCCTGTGGTCCCAGCTACTAGGGAGGCTGGAGTGGGAGGAACGCTTGAGTCCAAGAGGTCAAGGCTGCAGTGAGCCCTGACCGTGCCATGCTCTCGCCCTCTGGTGGGAGTGTGTATCTGGTCATCGCAGATCTGGTGCCTGCGCATCGGCTCTGTACCTCCCTTACTGTGCCCTGTGTGTTCGGCATGTGGAGGGCTCCGCATGCCTGGATGTCTGAGCAGGAGGAGGCCGGCATCCATGCCTCTGCTCTCGGCCACCTCTGTTTGGGTACTGGTATCCCTCGGGTGTATCATGGAGTCCTGTCTGTTTGGCCTCCTGATGTCTCTTCTGCCTACCCCTGCCCGGAGCTGCGGCCTGATCCTCCCTTCTCCTGCCTCTACTCTCACTCTTTTCTCGCATTTAGCAACCAGAGGACTGTTTCTTTTTTGTTGTTTTTGGTTTTTTTCACTCTGTCGCCCAGGCTGGAGTGCAGTGGTGTGATCTCAGCTCACTGAAACCTCCGACTCCCGGGTTCAAGTAATTCTTCTGCCTTAGTCTCCCGAGTAGCTGGGACTACAGGTGTCCGCCACCACGCCTGGCTAATTTTTGTATTTTTAGCAGAGATGGGGTTTCACCATGTTATTCAGACTGGTCTCAAACTCCTGACTTTATGATCTGCCAACCTTGGCCTCCCAAAGTATTGAGATTACAGGCGTGAGCCACCATGCCCAGCCGCTAATTTCTATGTTCTTCTTTTCTTTCTTTCTCTCTCTTTTTTTTTTTTTGCCATCAGTTTTTTCTCCTTTTTTTTTTTTTTTTTTTTAAGGCAAGGTTTCACTATGTTGGTCAGGCTGGTCTTGAACTCCTGACCTCAGGTGATCCACCAGCTTTGGCCTCCAAAATGCTTGGATTACAGGCGTGAGCCACCACACCCGGCCCAGATTTGTCTTCTATAATTTTTGTATGTTTAGTAAAGACAGGGCTTCGTCATGTTCGCCAGGATGGTCTCCAACTCCTGACCTTAAGTGATCGGCCTGTCTCAGCCTCCCAAAGTACTGGAATTACAGGTGTGAGCCACTGTGCCCCACCTTTTCTTTGAAACAGACTTTCACTCCTGTTGCCCAGGCTGGAGTACAAATGAGCAATCTCCGCTCACTGCAACCTCCAGCTCCCGGGTTCAAACAATTCTACTGCCTCAGCTTTCCTAGTAGCTGGGATTACAGGCATGCACCACCACTCCCAGCTAATTTTGTATTTTTACTAGAGACAGAGTTGGTCAGGCTGGTCTTGAACTCTTGACCTCAGGTAATTCACCTGCCTTGGCCTCCCAAAGTACTGGGATTACAGGCATGAGGCACCACGCCTGGCTCTGGCCTTTTTTTTTTTTCACAGAGGTTTTCTCTGTCTCCCAGGCTGGAGCGCAGTGGTGCCATCATAGTCTACTTCAGCCTCGGCCTCCTGGGCTCAAGCAATCCTTCCTCATCAGCCTCCCAAGTATCTGGGACTACAGGCACTCACCACCATGCCCAGCTAATTTTTATATTTTTTGTAGAGACAGGGTCTTACCACATTGCCTGGGCTGGCTGGTCTCAAACTCCTGGAATTACAGGCATGTGCGACTGTGCCCAGGCACCTGCTTCACTTGTGTCTCATTTCAGTGATGGCCCCAGGATCCATCCTGTCCCCCAAGTCTGAGCACTGGAGTCCTTCTGGACACCCCAACGCTGTGCTTAGTTACCAAGTTCCATGGAGGATTCAGTTTCACAAACCTCACTCCCACCTCTCCTGGTCCCTCCCCACAGTCTCACTCTGGTCCAGCCCCATCCCTAGCTCTTACCACCTCCCAGGGCTACTGGCTTTTTTTTTTTTTTTTTTGAGATGGAACCTTGCCCTGTCACCCAGGCTGGAATGCAGTGGCTCAATCTCTGTTCACTGCAACCTCTGCCTCCCGGGTTCAAGCAATCCTTCTGCCTCAGCCTCCTGAGTAGTTGAGATTACAGGTGTCCACCATCGTGCCAGGCTAATTTTTGTATTTTTCATAGAGATGGGGTTTCACCATGTTGGACAGGCTGGTCTTGAACTCCTGGTTTCAAGTGATCTGCCCGCCTCAGCCTCCTAAAGTGCTGGGATTACAGGCGTGAGCCACCGCACCTGGCCATGGGCTGCTGGCTTCTGTTGCTCCTTCCAACCTGTCTCCCACTCAACAGTCAGAAAGCTTCTTCCTGATCTCAAACCAAACCTTTCCCACCCCTGCCCCAGACCTTTCAGGAAAACTCTAACCTCAAGTCTATGTGACCGTCCCTTCGCCTCCCCAGTCTTCTCTCGCTTTCTCACCAAAAGAGCCCTTCTCCGAGGCCTCGGAGCAACCTCCTGCAGCCCTTGTCCCCAGCTCTGCCATCTCTTCTCCATCACATCACTGTCTGGCCCCTCCCAGTCCAATCTAGGTCCCCATGTTCTTTACTCCCAGCACACTGTCCCTTCCCTTGGCAACACTTTGCCTCAGTTATCATTAGACATTTATTGGCATGATCATGTGTCTCGCGCCTGTCTCCTCCCGCTGGCCGGGGCCTCTGCAGGGGCAGGGACTGCGTGTATTTTGGGCAGTGCTGCGTCTTCGTCACCCTGTAAAAGGCCTGCCACAAAGGGGACAATTCCTCATTGTGGCTTTTTTCTTGAGACGGAGTCTCACTCTGTCGCCCAGGCTGGGGTGCAGGGGTGGTATCTCAGCTGACTGCAAACTTCACTTCCCGGTTCAAGCACTCTGTTGTCCAGACTGAAATGCCATAGCGCCATCATAGCTTGCTGCAGATTCAAACTCCTGGGCTCAAGCGATCCTCCCGCCTCAGCCTTCCCGAGTAGCCAAGACTATGTGTGCAAGCACACGTGGCTAATAAAAAAAAATGTTTTTGGCCAGGTGTGGTGGCTCACGCCTGTAATCCCAGCACTTTGTGGGGCCGAGGCAGCTGGATCACGAGGTCAAGAGATTGAGACCATCCTGGTCAATGTGGCAAAACCCCGTCTCTACTAAAAATATGAAAATTAGCTGGGTGTGATGGTGGGCACCTGTAATCCCAGTTACTTGGGAGGCTGAGACAGGGAGAATCACTTGAACCAGGAAGGCAGAGGTTGCAGCGAGCTGAGAACACACCATTGCACTCCAGCCTGGGTGACAGAGTGAGACTCTGCCTCAAAAAAAAAAAAAAAAAAAAAAAAAAAAAGCCAGGCCTGGTGCCGCTTGCCTGTAGTCCCAGCTACTCGGGTGGCTGAGGCAGAAGAATTTCTTTTCCTTTCTCTTTTTTTTTTTTTTTTTTGAGACGGAGTTTCACTCCTTGGTCGCCAGGCTGGAGCTCAATGGTTTGATCTTGGCTCACTGCAACCTCTCTCCTGGGTTCAATGGTTTGATCTGGGCTCACTGCAACCTCTTTCCTGGGTTCAAGCGATTCTTCTGCCTCAGCCTCCTGAGTAGCTGGGACTACAGGCACGAGCTCCCACGCCCAGCTGATTTGTGTATTTTAGTAGATACGGGGTTTCACGGTGTTGCCCAGGCTGGTCTTGAACTCCTGAGCTCAGATGATCCGCCCACCTCAGCCTCTCAAAGTGCTGGAATTACAGGTGTGAGCCATCTCACCCGGCCAGGAGAATCTCTTGAACCTGGGAGGTGGAGGTTGCAGTGAGCTGGGATTGCATCACTGCACTCCAGCCTGGGCGACAGTGAGAGACCATCCCCTGCCCCCCCAAAAATAAAAATAAAAAAAGAAACTGGCTAGGCTGAGTGGGTCACGTCTATAATCCCACACATCAGGAGGCCCAGGTGGGATGATAGCTTGAGGCTAGGAGTTTAAGACCAGCCTGGCAACATAGCCAGACCCTGTGTCTACAAAAAAAAGTTTTAAAAATTAGCCAGGTGTGCTTGCACACATAGTCTTGGCTACTTGGGGCAGCTGAGGCGGGAGGATCACTTGAACCCAGGAGTTTGAGGCTGCAGTAAGCTATGAGGGCACCACTGCATTCCAGTCTGGATGACAGAGAGAGATCCTGTCATTAAAAAGAAAAGAAAAGATGGACAGGTGTTGCTGGAGGGGCGGGCTTCTACAATGAGCAAGAAAAGTTCACATCCTCCTGGAGCTCCCATTCCAAGGGGGAAGAGAAGTAGCACTCACATAAATAGTTATGTTGCAAGATGGACAGTGAAGAAAAATAAAGCAGGGGCCGGCGAGGTGGCTCACGCCTGTAATCCCAGCACTTTGGGAGGCTGAGGCGGGCAGATCACAAGGTCAGGAGTTCAAGACCAGCCTGCCCAACATGGTGAAACCCATCTCTACTGAAAATAGAAAAATTAGCCAGATGCAGTGGCTCACACCCGTAATCCCAGCACTTTGGGAGGCTGAGGCAGGTGGATCACGTGGTCAGGGGTTCAAGACCAGCCTGACCAACATGGTGAAACCCCATCTCTACTTAAAAATACAAAAATTAGCTGGGCGTGGTGGTGTGCACCTGTAATCCCAGCTACCTGGGAGGCTGAGGCAGGAGAATCGCTCGAACCTGGAGGCGGAAGTTGTGGTGAGCCGGGAGCACGCCACTGCACTCCAGCCTGGGTGACAGAGCGAGACTCTGCCTCAAAAAAAAAAAAAAAAAAAAAGAAATTTACAAATAGCTCTCGTTTCCTTGTGAAGGGGAGGATGGAGGCAGTGAGTGGGAGTGGGCTTAGGGTCTGTGTCGCAAGCTAGTTCTTGTGCCCAAGAGTCTCTAGGGTCTGGATCTAGTTGGCTTCAGGCTTTCACTGGCTGAGGGAGCCCCAGGGTCCACAGTCCAGCTTGGTTTACCGTCTCCTTGTGCACTTCCCACCGCCAGACACCTTGGCCTTTTCTGGAAGTTAGGCCCAGCATGGGGCCCCAGCCTGCGCCTCCTCCCAGCTCCACATCTGGTCGTGATGTCAGCAGGCAGGGTGGGCGGTGGCCATGTTTTTCAGCTCCCGCCCAGCCTCAGGGGAGGGGTGGACTCCCCCATCCCCACCCCTTACTCACAGTGACTGACGGGTCACACACAGCAGTAGGCTAAAGGCCAGGAACAAACTTTAATTCCCAAGCCGGACCTTTAAGTCAAAAGGATGTTAGATCCAGCTCACTCCCTGACAGGGTGAATTGAAACCTGGCCCCTGTTTGGTCTTCTAGCCCCTTCCACTGGGTCTAAAGGGGACTCTGATGCCGAATAGGGACTGCAGATAAGTGAGTGAGCGTGTATGTGCGTGTGGAGGCACAGCAGGGGCTGATGTCCACATGGTGGCATAAGCAGGTGTTGCGAGTTGGGCAGGTGCTCCTCTGCTCTGAGGGTCCTCATGTGTCCAAGGTCTTTGTGCACGATTGCAGACCCAAATGTGTTTGCATTTGGGAGAATCAGGGTGCTTAAAAAAGGGGTGACTGAGGCCGGGTGGCGTGGCTCACACCTGTAATCCCAGCACTTTGGGAGACCGAGGCAGGCGGATCACTTGAGGTCAGGAGTTCGAGACCAGCCTGGCCAAATAGCAAAACCCTGTCTCTACTAAAAATACAAAAAGTAGCCATGCGTGATGGTGGGCACCTGTAATCCCAGCTACTAGGGAGGCTGAGGCAGGAGAATTGCTTGAACTTGGGAGGTGGAGGTTCCTGTGAGCCGAGATTGCGACACTGCACTCCAGTTTGGGCAACAGAGTGAGACTCTGTCTCAAAAAAAAAAAGAGGGGTGACTGAAGGCTGCAGTTTCGGAGGTGGATAGGGACCGTGCCTTGGTGGAAGGGGTGTGTCTCTTGTCGCTAAGATACTCTGGGGAGCTAGGACAATGTCATATGTGGGTAGCTGTGTGGACCAGTGGTTGGGGGTGTGTGGACATCAGTGGTCACAGGCTGGGAGCATGGCGCAGCTAAGAGAGGGAGCACGTGTTGGGCCGGTAGACAGTGATGGTCTCTCTGTGGCATGACCCGGGAAGGGACGCGACCCAGGAAGGTGTGCCAGCACCAGAGACAGGGACAGACTGAGAAGTCTGGTGAATGGAGAGGGCGTGTGAGCTGTGGACACGTGTGGCTGGTTTCTGTGGCTCGTGAAGGTGACAGCCGGCCTCCCACATATGGGCTGCAGATCCAGGGGAGTTGCACGGTGTCTGAGTCAGTGGGTTACCCGGCTACGCGCTTGTGATTGTGGATGGACTGTATTTATGCCCATGGAAAGCTAACGCAGCAGCTGCCTTATAGCCCTTGTAGTTGTGTATGGGTGTGTGGTTGTGCATCTTAGCAGCACCAGCCAAGTGAGTGAGTGGGTGTGGGACAGTCTCTGGAAAACAGCTGCAGGTGTGTAAATGTGGCTGCCGGCAGTGTTGACTCTGGAGACGTAACCCTGTCCCTGCTGGAGGGTTGTCTCCATCCTCCCATTCACAAGGAAAGTCGAGGCTGTAGGCACCATCCCGGGCACCCACCACCTCTAAGTCGCCTTCCTTCATCTGGTCTATGCAGTAGGGTCAAGGTCGGCGGGATGGACTTGCAGCTGGAAGGCTGGGGGGACGTTGAAAAGGCCACTGATGGTGGGCTTGAGGCTCAGGGTGCCCGGTGGGCACGGGCTCTCCAGGGAGAAGGCTTGCAGGATGGATGTGAAGAAGAGGAAGAGCTCTGCCTTTGCCAGGCCCTCTCCAAGGCAGACACGCTTTCCTGGGGGTTGGGGGGGAAGAGAGAGAGAGAGAGAGAGACAGAGACAGAGACAGAGAGAAAGAGAGGGCTGAGCCAGCCCTCCTCATGCCCAGGCACACAGGGAGAACAGCAGGTGGAGAGGCCAACAGTGATCCCAGGGTGCAGAAGGGTGCCCCCAGCTGGCATAGGTGCCTGGAGTTCACCAGTGCCTGCTTGTTATACCCAGGGCAGGAGCAGATACCTAAGGAGAAGGGCAGGAATGCCTCATGCTTCCTGAACCGTCCGTCTGCATCCAGGAAACGGTCTGGGTTGAACTCCTCTGGCTGTTTGAAGATGTTGGGGTCATGCAGGATGGAGCCGAGGAGCGGGTAGACCTCTGTGCCCTGAGGGGAAATAAGAATCAAGCTACGGGCCAGGTGCAGTGGCTCATACCTGTAATCCTAGCACTTTGGGAGGCCGAGGCAGGCAGATCACAAGGTCAGGAGTTCGAGACCATCCTGGCTAACATGGTAGAACTCCGTCTCTACTGGCTGGGCGCAGTGGCTTACGTCTGTAATCCTAGCAAGCACTTTGGGAGTCCGAGGTGGGTGGATCACCTGAGGTCAGGAGTTCAAGACCAGCCTCACCATCATGGTGAAACCCCATCTTAAAAACAAAAACAAAAACAAAATTAAAAAAAAAACTCCGTCTCTACTAAAAATACAAAATATTAGCTGGGCGTGGTGGCAGGCACCTGTAATCCCAGCTACTCGGGAGGCTGAGGGAGGAGAATCACTTGAACACAGGAGGCGGAGACTGCAGTGAGCTGGGATCATGACACCACACTCAGAGCGATCTGACAGAGTAAGACTCTGTCTCAAACAAACAAACAGACAAGCTACAAACCCCTTCCCACCCCAGTCTATTAGGTCCTTGAGTGTGGCGCATAAGTCTAGGGTGCCAGGGACACTAGTTCACAAAACATAACAGCATCAACATTTGTTGAGGGTTGAGTGGGGTGCGGTGGCTTGTGCCTGTAATCCTAGCTACGTGGGAGAGAAGCATTTGAGTCCAGGAGTTTGCGACCAGCCTGGGCAATATAGCACTACCTTGTCTCTATGAAAAATTAAAAAATTAGCCCGGCATGGTGGCTTGAGCCTGTGGGCTCAGCTGCTCAGGAGGCTGAGGTGGGATCACTCTGAACTCAGGAGTTCAAGGCTGCAGTGAGTTATGCTTGCATTGCTGCACTCCAGCCTGGGAGACAGAGAGAGACCCTATTGAAAGAAAAGAGAGAGAGAGAGAACAAGATGGAGGGAGGGAGGGAGGAGAGAAAGAAAGAAAAGAGAGATAGCCGGGTGCGGTGGCTCAAGCCTGTAATCCCAGCACTTTGGGAGGCCGAGGTGGGTGGATCACGAGGTCGAGAGATCAAGACTATCCTGGTTAAAATGGTGAAACCCCGTCTCTACTAAAAATACAAAAAATTAGCTGGGCATGGTGGCACGTGCCTGTAATCCCAGCTACTCAGGAGGCTGAGGCAGGAGAATTGCCTGAACCCAGAAGGCGGAGGTTGCGGTGAGCCGAGATCGCGCCATTGCACTCCAGCCTGGGTAACAAGAGCGAAACTCCGTCTCAAAAAACAAAACAAAACAAAACAAAACAAAAAAACATGAAAGAAAAGAGAGATAAAGGGAGAGAGGGAGGGAGGGAGGAGAGAAATAAATGAAGAGAGACAGAAGGAAAGAGAAAAAAGGGGGGAGGGAGGGAGAAAGGGAAAAAAGAAAGAAAGAAAAAGGAAGACAGAAAGAAAAAAGAGCGAGCAAAGCAAAGCAAGCAGCAGCACAGCAGCGCTGGAGCCTGGCTGACGCCTTTGACTGCAGTGAAGGTGGAGGAGGCAGCCGCAGGCACTAAGCGCTGGGGTTTCTGGGGAAACATCGCCCCCTTTTGGTTCTGCATCAGAGCTGCTCCCCGGTGAAGGGCCCTGAGATTAGAGAGAGAAAGGCAGAGAAGAGAATGTGTGTCTGTAGCAGGGGCTAAGCGTCAGGAGGGCTTCCCTTAGTCCTGGACTTGCTCCTCAGTTGTCAAACTGCTTCTCCATGTGTCACCTCATTCGATTGTCCCAACCACCTTAGAAGGAGGCAGAATTAGGAGATCTGTGGGGCAGATGGGGCCCAGAGACAAAGGGCAAGAAAACGCAAACCGAAAAGAAACGGAAAGAGTAAAAAGATGCAGAAAGGGAGGCCAGGCGCGGTGGCTCACACCCGTAATCCCAGCACATTGGGAGGCCGAGGCAGGCGGATCAACTGAGCTCAGGAGTTCGAGACCAGCCTGACCAACACGGTGAAACCTCGTCTCTACTAAAAATATAAAAGTTAGCTGGATGTGGTGGCACATGCCTGTGATCCCAGCTACTCAGGAGGCTGAGGCAGGAGAATCACTTGAATCCAGGAGGTGGAGGTTGCAGTGAGCCGAGAGCACGCTGTTATACTCCAGCCTGGGCAACAGAGCAAGACTTAGTCTCCAAAAAAAAAAAAAAAAAAAAAAAGAAAGAAAAGAAAAAAAAATGCAGAAAGGGAAGGGGTGTTAGAGAGAGGAGGAGAAAAATCCAAGAGTGTGGGGGTGGGGTTGGAGGAGAGAGCGAGAGAGCGAGAGAGAGAGAGAGAGAGAGAGAGGGGCACTAAGATTAAAAAAAAAAAAGTCACTAACAGCAACCCACCCGGGCTCAGGCCCGGAGGCAGAGAACCATGGGCCGAGGCAGTACGTATACCCACCTGGGGCAGGGTGTACCCTCGGAAGCGGGTAGTTCGCGTGAGGGTGCGGGGTATTCCCATGGGCACCAGCGCCAGCAGCCGCTGCGCCTCGTGCAGAACTGCGTCGGTGTAAGGGAGGCGGGTGCGGTCCCCTAGGCTTGGTGCCTGGCCAGCCCCCAGCTCCCGAGTCAGCTCCTCCCGTACCCGCTCTGCAAGCAAGAGGATGATGGGGGTCAGGCAGGGGTAGGGCGCAGGGGTCCTCCTCCCCTCGGAAGCCCGTCTGCTTGCCTAGCTGTGGTTTGGTGGTTTGGGGTGAGGCTGACAGGTGAGGAGGAGTGGTCCTCAACCCTCAGTGAGCCCAGAGACCACACATCGTGTGTGTTGGGTGTTCTATCAATCTTCTCTCTCTCTCTCTTATCTTCTCTTTTTTTTTTTTTCTTTGAGACAGAGTCTCACTCTGTCGTCCAGGCTGGAGTGCAATGGTGCAATCTTAGCCCATCGCAACCTCTGCCTCCCAGGTTCAAGTGATTCTCCTGCCTCAGCCTCCTGAGTAGCTGGGATTACAGGTGCCCACCACCATGCCCCGCTAATTTTGTATTTTTTTGGAGAGACAGGCTTTTTCCACGTTGGTCAAGCTGGTCTCAAATTCCTGACCTCGGGTGATCCACCCACCTTGGCCTCTGGATTACAGGTGTGAGCCACCTCGCCTGGCCTGACCACACATCTTATGTGTTGGGTGTTCCATCTATCTTTTCTCTCTTTTTTTTTTTTATTTTGAGATGGAGTTTCGCTCTTGTAGCCCAGGCTGGAGTGAAATGGCGCGATCTCAGCTCACTGCAAGCTCCCCCTCCCAGGTTCAAGTGATTCTCCTGCCTCGGCCTCCTGGGTACCTGGGATTGCAGGCAGGCACCACCACACCCAGCTAATTTTGTATTTTTAGTAGAGACGGGGTTTCTTCATGTTGGTCAGGCTGGTCTCGAAATCCTGACCACAGGTGATCTGCCTACCTCGGCCTCCCAAAGTGCTGGAATTCCAGGTGTGAGCCACCGAGCCCAGCCCCCTTTTTTTTTTTTTTTTTTTTTTGAGACAGGGTCTTATTCTGTTGCCCAGGCTGGAGTGCAACGGTGCAATGATGGCTCACTGTAGTAGCCTCCACCAAACCTCCTGGGCTCAAGTGATCCACCTCAGCCTGAGTAGCTATGACCACAGCCACACACCACCACGCCCAGCTAATTTTTCTATTTTTGGTACAGACAGGGTCTCACTATGTTGGCCAGGCTGATCTTGAACTCGTAGCCTCAAGTGATCCTCCCACCTTGGCCTCCCAAAGTGCTGTGATTACAGGCACCTGCCACCACACGCGGCTAATTTTTGTTTGTTTGTTTGTTTTGTATTTTTAGTAGAGATGTGGTTTCACTAAGTTGGCCAGGCTGGTCTTGAACTCCTGACTTTGTGAACTCCCGCCTCAGCCTCCCAAAGTGCTAGGATTATAGGTGTGAGCCACCACACCCGGCCCTTGAGCCTTTTCTTTTTTTTCTTTCCTTGAAAGCTCTTTCTTTCTTCTTTTCTTCTTCTTTTAGAGGCAGGGCTGCTGTCACCCAGGATGGAGTGCAGTGGTGCAATCATAGCCCGCTGCAGCCTCAAACTTCTGGGCTAAAGCAATCCTCCCTCCTCAGCCTTCTACCCTGTAGCTGGACTAAAGGTACATGCCATCACAAACTGCTCATCTTTTTTCTTCCTCGTTTTTGGTGGAGATGAGGTTTCACTTTATTGCCCAGTGGTCTCGAACTCCTGGTCTCAAGTGACCTTCTTCCACCTCTGCCTCCCAAAGATTTTTCTAAAATGTCAATCTGGGCCCAGTGCGGTGGCTCATGCCTCTTATCCCAGCACTTTAGGAGGTTGAGGCCGGCAGATCACTTGAGGTCGGGACTTCAAGATCAGCCTGGCCAACAGAGTGAAACCCTTCTCTACTAAACATACAAAAGTTAGCTGGGCATGGCAGCACATGCCTATAATCCCAGCTACTTAGGAGTCTGAGGCAGGAGAATCTCTTGAACCCGGGAGACGGAGGTTGCAGTGAGCCGAGATCAAACCACTGCACTCCAGCCTGGGTAACAGATTGAGACTCTGCCCCCTGACACAAAATAAATAAATAAATAAGATACCAGCCAGGCGTGGTGGCTCATGCCAGTAATCCCAGCACTTTGGGAAGCTGAAGCGGGAGGATCATGAAGTCAGGAGATTGAGACCATCCTGGCCAACATGGTGAAACCCCATCTCTACTAAAAATACAAAAATTAGCCATGCATGGTGGCATGTGCCTGTAGTTCCAGCTTCTTGGGAGGCTGAGGCAGGAGAATCACTTGAATCCAGGGGGCAAAGATTGCAGTGAGCTGAGATCGTGCCACTGCACTCCAGCCTGGTGACAGAGCAAGACTCCATCTCAATAAAATAAAATAAAATACCAATTTGACCCTGCCCTCCCCTGCTCAAAGTCATTCGATTGCTCCCCATGGCTCAGGAGAAGGCACCTAACGAGGCCTGCAGACCTCTGCCTAGTCTTTCACTCTGCCTCATACTGCAATCAGCAGCTCCCAAACTTCTTCTGCCTCCTCGAAACGCCATGCCCATTGATACCTCCAAGATCTAGCTCTGCCTGTCTGCTCCGCCCGCCCAATCTTCCCTCTAGAACCCACACTGTTTTGTTTTTATTTTTTGTTTTTCTTTTTTGAGAGGAGTCGTGTCCTATTGCCCAGCCTGGAGTGCGGTGGCGTGATCTCTGCTCACTGCAATGCCCACCTCCCAGGTTCAAGCAGTTCTCCTGCCTCAGCCTCCTGAGTATCTGGGGTTACAGGCACGTGCCACCACCCCTGGCTAATTTTTTTTGTATTATTAGTAGAGATGGCGTTTTACTCTATTGGCCAGGTTGGTTTCAAACTCCTGACCTTCTGATTCACCCACCTTGGCCTCCCAAAGTGCTGGGATTACAGGTGTGAGCCACCGTGCCCGGCCCCACGCTGTTGTTTTTTGAGACAGTGTCTCTTTCTGTCACCCAGTCTGGAGTGCAGTGGTGTGATGTCCGCTCACTGCAACCTCTACCTCCTGGGCTCAAGAATTCTCATGTCTGAGCCTCCTGAGTAGCTGGGATTACAGCTACTTGGCTAACTTTTGTATTTTCAGTAGAGATGGGGTTTCACTATGTTGGCCAGGCTGGTCTTGAACTCCTGTTCTCAAGTGATCACCACGCCTTGGCCTCCCAAAGTGCTGGGATTACAGGTGTGAGCCACCGCACCCAGCCCAGAACCCTTACTTCCATTCCCAAGGCCTGGTAGGTGAAAAACGCTCTTACTTTGGACATGAGGGTATTTCATGAGGAGCAGGAGGGTATAGCCGACCGTGGCGCTGACTGTCATTGTCCCAGCAAACAGCAAATAAATGACTGTCATCAGCATGTTCTTCTCGGTGAATTCTGTGTGTGGGTTTTGTTCCTCCTGAAAGAAACCAGGCAGAGGGGCTGAGAGACCACAGGCTTCGGGAAGTAAATGTCCAGGACAGCCATGCCTGGGGTCAGCACTACAAATTAAAGTTTTGTCAGGGGGGTTATTTATGTATTTATTATTCATTTTTTGAGATGGAGTCTCTGGCGCCCAGGCTGGAGTGCAGTGGCATGATCTTGGCTCACTGCAACCTCTGCCTCCTGAGTTCAAGCAATTCTCCTGCCTTAGCCTCCCAAGTAGCTGGGACTACAAGCATGCGCCACCACACCTGGCTCATTTTTTTTGTATTTTTAGTAGAGACGGGGTTTCACCATGTTTGCCAGGATGGTCTGGATCTCTTGATCCACCCTCCTCAGCCTTCCAAAGTGCTGGGATTACAGGTGTGGGCCACCTTGTCCAGCCATCAGGAAGTGTAGATAAATCTTGGGAAGTAAACTTTTTTTTTTTTTTTTTTTTTTTTGAGACAGTCTTGCTTTGTTGCCCAGGCTGGAGTGCAGTGGCACAATCTTGGCTCACTGCAACCTCTGCCTCCCAGGTTCAAGCAGTTCTCCTGCCTCAGCCTCCCAAGTAGCTGGGATTACAGGCACCTGCCACCATACCTACTTAATTTTTTTTTTTTTAAAGGTGGGGTTTCACCATGTTGGTCAGGCTGGTCTTGAACTCCCGATCTCAGGTGATGCGCCCGCCTTGGCCTCCAAAGTGCTTGGATTACAGGCATGAGCCACTGCGCCCGGCCCCTGCTTAATTTTTGTATGTTTAGTGGAAACGGGGTTTCACCATGTTGCCCAGGCTGGTCTCAAACTCCTGACCTCAGGGGATCCACCTGCCTCGGCCTCCCAAAGTGCTGGGATTACAGGCGTGAGCTGCCACTCCCAGCCGGGAAGTAGACTCTTGATATTAGTTCTCTTTGGTTAAAATGTTTTTTAAAATGAAAGGGAATGACTACTAACAAAAACACAGAAAATTGGCCTGGCGCGGTGGCTCATGCCTGTAATCCCAGCACTTTGGGAGGCCGAGGCGGGTGGATCACGAGGTCAAGAGACCGAGACCATCCTGGTCAACATAATGAAATCCCGTCTCTACTAAAAATACAAAAAATTAGCTGGGCATGGTGGCGCGTGCCTGTAATCCCAGCTACTCAGGAGGCTGAGGCAGGAGAATTGCCTGAACCCAGGAGGCGGAGGTTGCGGTGAGCCGAGATCGCGCCATTGCACTCCAGCCTGGGTAACGAGAGCAAAACTCCGTCTCCAAAAAAAACACACAAGCCGGGCGCAGTGGCTCACGCCTGTAATCCCAGCACTTTGGGAGGCCGAGGCAGGTGGATCACGAGGTCAAGAGATCGAGACCATCCTGGTCAACATAGTGAAACCCCATCTCTACTAAAAATACAAAAAATTAGATGGGCATGGTGGCGCATGCTTGTAATCCCAGCTACTCAGGAGGCAGAGGTTGCGGTGAGCCGAGATCGCGCCATTGCACTCCAGCCTGGGTAACAAGAGCGAAACTCCATCTCAAAACAAAAAACAAAGAACAAAAAATAAAAAACACACAAAAACCAAAAAAACAAAAACAAACAAAACAAAACAAAAAAAATCCACAGAAAATTATAAGGGTTGGTGAAGATGTGGAGACTCTGAAATGCTTGTGCACCATTGGTGGGAATGTGAAGTGATGCAGCCCTGTGGAAAATCGTACAGCTGTTCCTTCAGACATCAAAAATAGGGGTGGGAGTGGTGGCTCACATCTGTAATCCTGGCCTTCTGGGAGGCTGAGGCTGGTGGATTGCTGGAGTTCAGGAGTTTGAGATCAGCCTGGGCAACACAGTGAGAATTTGTCTCTACTAAACACACAAAAAATCCGCTGGGTGTGGTGGCAAGTGCCTGTAATTCCAGCTAATCGGGAGGCTGAGGCAGGAGGATCGCTTGAGCTCAAAAGATCAGGGCTACAATGAGCTATGATTGTGCCACTGCACTGCAGCCTGGGCGACAGAGTGAGACCCTGTCTGAAAACACAAACAAACAAAAATTAGAATTATAGAATTACCGCCGGGCACGGTGGCTCACGCCTATAATCCCAGCACTTTGGGAGTCCAAGGCAGGTGGATCACCTGAGGTCGGGAGTTCAAGACCAGCCTGACCAACATGAAGAAACCCCATCTCTACTAAAAAAAAAAATAATAATAACAAAGTTAGTTGGGTGTGGTGGTGTATGCCTGTAATCCCAGCTACTTGGGAGGCTGAGTCAGGAGAATCACTTGAACCCAGGAGGTGGAGGTTGCAGTGAGCCAAGATCATGCCATTGCACTCCAGCCTGAGTAACAGAGAGAGACTCTGTCTCAAAAAATAAAAATAAAAAGAGAAATATTATTCTCATATAATTAATAAAGTGGGCTTTATTAACATAACTTGATATTGCAAGGCTTCCTAGTAAATGACCGTAATTCACATAAAATTGTGAATTTACATGAAAGTGTGGGGAGGCTGCAGGGGGTGGGATGAAGTGATTCTGGGGATTGCTGGTATAAACCGTGGGCATGAGGCCTGAACTCAAGGGCCGAGGTGGGAGGGAAAAGAAAGAGGGGAGACAGAGAGCCCAGCAGTTCGGGGGAGGGAGAGGCAGTGAGAGCAACGCGCTGAAAGAGACAGATGGTTGCACAGAGAAGAGACATACGCTGGGCACGGTGGCCCTCGCCTGTAATTCCAGCACTTTGGGAGGCCAAGGCGGTCAGATCACAAGGTTGTGAGATCGAGACCATCCTGGCCAACATGGTGAAACCCCGCTCCACTAAAAATACAAAAATTAGCTGAGCGTGGTGGTGCACGGCTGTAGTCCCAGCTATTCAGGAGGCTGAGGCAGGAGAATTGCTTGCACCCAGGAGGCGGAGGTTGCAGTGAGCCGAGATTATGCCATTGCCCTCCAACCTGGCAACAGGGTGAGACTCTGTCTCAAAAAAAGAAAAAGAGACATACATAGCCACACAGAGACACTCGTACTCACAGAGACATGCAGAGAGAGAAAGAGGGACCCAATCGAGGTTCCCAGGGACATCTGGTTGGGGACCCGCGAGGCCACCACCTCCATTTGGAGAGGGGGTCCCTGCACCCTTCCCGCACCTGTGCCATCTTCAGCAGGAAGGCATCAACGAGGTCACTTGCGGGGCTCGAGGCATCCAGGTTCGCCTGGTGCTGCTGCACCTGCTGGACTGTGAAGGTAGCCAAGGTGCCCACGTGGTGGAGGAGCTGCCTGTGGGGGCCTGGCAGAGGCCACAGGAACCAGGAGAACATCTCATAGGTCTGTGGGGAGAGGGGCAACTAGTTTTCATGGGACCTTGGCAGCAACCTTTAGGGAAGGTAGTTGGGGAGCGGTCCCACCCACTCACCTGACCCCCTGGGGAGCTGACTCCCAGCAGGGTACCACCAGCTGCCTGGACCAGGGCCTGGAACTCCTTATCCTCATAGGAGAAGCGGAGGCCAAAGAGGAGGGAGCAGACTACGTTGGAGGTAGCCTGGGCCAGCAGCAGGGAGGGATCGAATGGGCGTCCTGGGGGGAGTGGGGGCAGGGAGGTGAGCTTTGATGGAGCCAGGCAGAGGGGAGCAGTTTGGGACTGAACCCGACCAGAAGGAGACAGGGAGGCAGGGAAAGACAGACGAACAGACAGTGCAGGGGGAGAGCTAAACAGGCAAAGGAGACAGACAGATGGGAAAAACAAAGAGACAGACCTAGGGCCCGAGAAACAGAGGAAAGGAGTGAGAGAGAGAAGAGACAGGCCGGACGCGGTGGCTCACACCTGCAATCCCAGCACTTTGGGAGGCCGAGGCAGGCCGATCACAAGGTCAAGAGATCGAGACCATCTTGGCCAACATGGTGAAACCCCGTCTCTACTAAAAATACAAAAATTAGCCAGGCATGGTGGTGGGCACCTGTAGTCCCAGCTGAAACAGTAGAATCGCTTGAACCCGGAAGGTGGAGGTTGCAGTGAGCCAAGATTGCACCGTTGCACTCCAACTATGGGCAACAGAACAAGACTCCGTCTCAAAAAAAAAAAAAAAAAAAAAAAAAAAAAAAAAAAGAAAGAAAAGAAAAGAAAAAGAAGAGACAGAGAGATAGAGACCTAGGAAGAGTGGGATGACAGCACCAGAGATACAGAGAGAGATGTCATAACAGCCTCGGAGAGACAGCAGGGCAGAGACAGAGGGTGGGGTGACCAGAACAGAACCCCCAGCCCAGACCTAGAGTCCAAGGCTTCCCTTCCCACCCATTTCAGGACCTGAGTTGGGGCCACTGCCAGCTGCAGTGGGAGGGTCCTCCCTCTCACTCGGCTGGAGACCCTGGGGTGACCCCGCCATGCTGACCTTCTGTCCCCTGGAATGCCTCCACCAGACACTTGGCCTCCGCCTGGATCAGCTCCTCGCCTTCTCGCTTCCCCATGCCCAGGTCCCGCAGAGCAAGCATGGTAAACTTCCTCAGCTGCCTCCACCGTTCCCCGTTGGAGAAGAAAACCCCTGTGCAGAAGGCTAGACTCAGGAGGGACCGGCCCCTCTCCCCATTCCCTTTTTTTTTTTTTTTGAGATGAAGTCTCGCTCTGTCACCCAGGCTGGGGTGCAGTGGTGTGATCTCAGCTCACTGTAACCTCTGCCTTCTGGGTTCAAGCAGTTCTCCTGCCTCAGCCTCCCGAGTAGCTGGGACTACAGCTGCACACCACTGTGCTGGACTATTTTTTTTTTTTTTTTTTTTTTTTTTTTTGAGACAGAGTCTTGCTGTATCACCCAGGCTGGAGTGCAATGGCACTATCTCGGCTCTCTGCAACCTCTACCTCCTGAGTTCAAGCAATTCTCATGCCTCAGCCTCCTGAGTAGCTGGGATTACAGGCAGCCATCATGATGCCTGGCTAATTTTTGTATTTTTGTAGAGACAGAGTTTCACCATGTTGGTCAGGCTGGTCTTGAACTCCTGACCTCAGGTGATCCACCCACCTCGGCCTCCCAAAGTGCTGGGATTACAGGCATGTGCCACCATGCCCAGCCTAATTTTTATTTTTAGCAGAGACAGGGTTTCACCTTGTTAGCCAGGATAGTCTCGATCTCCTGACCTCATGATCTGCCCAGCTCGGCCTCCCAAAGTGCTGGGATTACAAGGCGTGAGCCACCATGCCTGGCCAATTCCCCCTTCTTTCTAGTGAAGGTACCCTGAGGGGTATTCTTGAGGCTCCGTCCTGAGTCCATTCCAGCCTAGCCCAGGGATGAGGACTCAGTAGGTGCTCAATAAATGTGTAATCAAACTGGTTCTCCATCCTTTGCCCTTGGGTCAGGGGGACATTCTCCTGAAAAGTAGGTAGCTGGGATGACCCAGGCTCCTTCTGTTTTGTCATTATTATTGAGACGAGGTCTTGCTCTGTTGCCCAGGCTGGAGTGTAGTGGCACGATCTTGGCTTACTGCAACCTCCGCCTCCTGGGTTTTAGCAATTCTCCTGCCTCAGCATTCCAAGTAGCTGGGATTACAGGCATACGCTGTTGTCTAGGCTGGTCTCCAACTCCTAACCGGAGGTGATCCACCCGCTTCAACCTCCCACAGTGCTAGGATTACAGGTGTGATCCACTGCACCCAGCCTGTTCTGTAATTAACCAGGATGAAGGAAGAGTTCTTTCTTTCTTCTTTCCTTCCATCCACTCATCCCATCATTTCTGGAGTCCCACTGGGTCCTCTGACCCATGTAGTTTGGAGGTTGAATAGAGAAGGAGGAGGATGGAACTGCATCATTTTTCTCCTTTATCCAAGACTTCTGGTCCAGACAGACCCTCCCTGTCCAATGCCAGCCTGTTGTGGCCTCTCAGGCACTGCCCCTTGGGCATCTCCTGCCCTTTCCACACTGTCTTCCAAACTGGCCTCAGTGTCTCTCCTCTCCCTGTTTCAAGTCCCCATCCATTCCCTGGCCAGAGCCCCCCGCCTCTCCCAATCACCCCTTCCTCCCTATCCCCTGGCCCCAGCCCTGTTCCCCACCCTGGACTCCCAGCCTCCAGTTTCAGCCCCTTCAGGCAGAAACTGCAGGATCCTCCCAACTCCGACTACAGCTCTTCCCTGCTTTAAATCAACTGTTCCCAGGAAAATCAAAAGCCCAAATACTCTGGCGTGACTCACAGGCCATGCGTGACTAGGGATTTCCCTGGCTTCTCAGCTTTGTTACTTAACCCACTAAGACTGCGTTGTTCTTCTCTCACTTCCTTAAAGGGGTTACGATCCCCAGTCTAGGCCTATGATCCCGCAGTTTCCTCTGCCTGCATCACTCTCACCCCCTTCCATCCCATCCTTGGTGAACTAACTCATTCATCCTTCACGTCCCAGCTCAAATGTCACCTCCTCTGAGAAGCCTTCCCTGATTCCGTCTTTACCCACAGGCAGGTGCCTGTGCCCTGTGTTTGCTCTCAAAGCTGTGCCTCTCACTTGAGGATTCGATTCCCTCCCTCTATTGTCTTGCTGCAGTACAAGCCCGCCTCTCCGACAGTAGGAGAGGACACCACGTCTGTCAACTCTGTATACCTGGTACTCAGTACAGGAGCAGGCATAAGACCATTTTGTAAAAAACTTTTTGTGGAGGCAGGGTACGTTGCCCAGGCTTGTCTCAAACGCCTAGGATCAAGTCATCCTCCCGATTCAGCGCCTCAAAGTGCTGGGATTACAGGTGTGAGCCACCGTGCCCAGCTTCATGCATCATTTGAATGGATGAATGCTTCTCTCGAAGTCACGCTTTTGTAGGCGTTCTTCTGCCTGGAACACCCTTCCCACTCATCTTAAGAGTCTCAGCTCCAACAGCCTCTCTTCCAGGAAGACTTCCTGAATCTCCATCACCAAACAGGCTGGGTCAGGCATCTCCCCGAAATCCCTAAGGTCCCAGGACTTCCCTCATCCTGGCCTTGACCCCTCTTGCCCCAATCCCTCCCTATCCCACCCCGACCTTTCTCCCTCTGCTTCCCCATCTTGGCCTGACCACTCTGGGTTGTCACTGTGTGGTGAGTGTGTCTCCCCACTGGCTGAGGTGCTTCCCCAGAGCACCTAGGTGTGTCTTAGTCCTGGTAGCGCCCAGCACGGGCCTCCTGCTTTCTGTTGTAAAACAGAGAACTGTGTTTATTGTTCGAGGGCTTGCCCATCGATTCCCAGCACCTCGAAAGCTCTCCGGCACCTTTCTGAGCCCTCAGGGCTTTACCTGGATCATGGATGGTGATCACTGACAGGACAACCCAGTGAAAACCTGGTGATTAGAGTGTCCACTTTGTGCCAGGCCGCCCTCACTCAGTCACTCAATCCTACATGATGGGCACTGCTTTGTTTTTTTGTTTGTTTTTTGAGGTGGAGTCTCACTCCGTTGCCCAGGCTGGAGTGCAGTGGCGTGATCTTGGCTGACTGCAACCTCTGCCTCCCGGATTCAAGTGATTCTCCTGCCTCAGCCTCCTGAGTAGCTGGGATCACAGGTGCACACCACCATGCCCAGCTACATTTTATATTTTTAATAGAGACAGGGTTTCGCCATGTTGGCCAGGCTGGTCTGGAACTCCTGATCTCAAGTGACCCATCTACCTCCACCTCCCAAAGTGCTGGGATTTCAAGCATGAGCCACTGCGCCCGGCCGATGGGCACTGTTATCACCCCATTTTACAGATAAGGAAACAGAGGCACTGAGCCGTGTGCAAAGGTCACACACCAGTAAGTGGTGGCAGGCTGTGCATAGAGGGCCTACCAGCCCTTGACTTACCATGGCCGTCAAAAGTCCGTTCCAGCATCGCTATGGTTCCTCGGCCGCTGAACTCCTCAGCCTGACCTCCCAGGGCTTCCTGCACAGCCTCCTGCCCAACCAGGACCACCACGGGCCGCCAGGGTCCCAGGTAGACGGTGAACACTGGTCCGTACTTCTTACTTAGCTGGGGGCAGGGAGGAAGAAAGAGGAGGGTGCTGTGACCTCTTCCAGCCAAGGTGTCTCCCTCATGGCCCCTGTCACTGGAGGAGCCTCCGGGTCTAGCTTCAGCACCCTCTACCCAGAACCTGCCCCCATCCCAGCAGAAATAGCTCCCTCGGGAGGCTCAGTTCTCTTTTTGCACCAGGTTCCCAGGCCTTCTCCCTTCAGTGGCATCCCCCGACTTCCTGCCATTCCCGCGTTCCCTGGATTCCTGCTGAACCCTCACCTCTGACACTGGGCAATCCAGAACCAGTGTTGGTCTCCCTTAATTCCCTATGATCCCCCCACCACCCAAATATCCAGCCACCCCTTTCAGTCACCCCTAAACTGTCAAATTCTGGAGCAGACACTGCTGAGTATTCGCCCCATCTCTCCCCCAAGGCCACACCCCTTTTTCTACCTCCTTGAAATCACCCAGAATCTTTTTGAATGGGGAACTTCGGGTCTCTTCCCACTCCCACCTGCTATCCCACAAGGCTGGGGCTGCCTCTGCCTTCTTTCCTCCCTCCCCAGTCCCAGGAACTCCCAGCTGAGCTCCACCCATCCACCCAGCCTGCATTTATTCTCTGCAGACAGATTCCTTCAGTGGGATCCCCTCTCTGAGCCTGCAATCCTCCAGCCTCCTGTCTGTCTCCAACTCCCCCCAGAGAGTCTCGCCCTTTTCTTCTTTGTCCCGTCTTTAGCATACCCCACCTGTATGGCTCCAGCTACCTCTCCCTCTGGGACGAGCCGCCAGCCGCAGCAGCTTCTCCTTGGCTGGAGGACTCCTGTCTCTCGAAGCCTCGGTCCCAGTACATCACCCTCCCAGCATTCTGCAGGCAGGGGTCTCTGCCCCTCCTCGCCCTGGTCCCCCTCCGCACGATCCTCTCTCCCAAGCACCCGTCCGCTTCTCAGCCCTGGACAACCTGCACCTGCCCCCAGCCCAGGTCACCCGCAGCCCCTTTGCCTTGGGACCCCTGCCCCTCTCTCCTCCCTAGGACCCCCGAAAAGTCCCTCGCCCTGACACTCAGGTGGCTCTCCCAGGGACCCCCCGCTCCTAGCCAGGACGCTCCCAGGGCCCCTCACCCGCATGAGCCCCGAGTACAGCGCCCCGGGCCGTAGCTGCAGGAGGTTCCCCAGCAGCGGCAGCGGCGTGGGCCCGGGGGGCAGGTGGCCTCGAGCCCGGGTCCCAGACAGCGCCAGCGTCAGCAGCAGGAGCAGCGCCAGGGCCAGCAGCAGCGTCCAGGTGCCGGTCGCCTCCATCTCGGCAGGTCGGCTCCTTCTCCTCTCCCAGGCGCTCCGCGCGGCTGGGCCAGTCAGGGGCGGGAGCCGGGCGTCTCCCTCCCCAGCGAAGTCAGGCGCGGGGCGGGGCGGCCAGCCCATCCCCCTGCCTGCTGGGCAGGCTTATCTCCCCGCCGCCGGGTTTCTCCGAACCCACGCCGCCGCCTGATGTCAGTGACTCACGCTCCAACGATGTCTCCCAGGTCACCCAGGTTTACGCGGGACTCGGGTGGCGGAGACAGCGCCTCGGGCCCCCAGATAGGGAGTAAGCAAACAGAAAAACCTGGAAGCCCGAGACTTTGGCCGCCTGGAGGCTGCCCCACCCTGCGCCCGGCGGTGACCCCGCGCCGCCCTCTCCAGCTCCTGCCTCCCTCATTGTTCGGGTGTGGGTTCGTGTGTGCGTGCGCGTATGGGGTGTCTTTGAGCCAATTTTCTCCAGTATCTTACATCTTCACGAACCAGGAGGAGGGACTTGACCTGAAGTCCAAAGGAGATAAATCGGTTGGCCCCAGGTCAACTTGGCTGAGTGGCAGAGTTAGGATTTCAACTTGGGCCAGTCACAATGATCGAGGCATTCATTCATTCACTTAGGGGCAGTTTACAGCGCGGTTAGGACGGTGATGGCTGAAGCCAGACTGCTTGAATTCACAGCCCAGCTCCTCCGTGCCACGGTTAACCTTGTAAAATGAGACTAGTTTTCAGGATTAAATAGTACTTGTACACCCGTGCAAACCATTTAAAGCAGACGCAGGTGCAGACGGAACAAGCGCTAAATAGATGGCGGCCAATATTTCTGCAACTTATTGCGGTCTTACTGTAGACAAGACCTTGTTCTAGACCCGAGGATGCAGCTGTAAGTGATGGAGAGAAGGGCTCTGACCTTCCTGAGCTCATAGCCACATGCAGATGAAACTCAAATGAAGACAATTTCAGGAAGTGAAAAGGCCTGTCAGGGGGGCCACCCTGAAGAAGCCCAGCTTCTTCAGAAAGGAGGCAGAATGTTATTGTAGGTTTGGTTCACTGCTGTATCCCCAGCATGTCGCGCAGTGCCTGACACACAGTAGGCACTCAATAAATATTTGTTGCATCAAATATTGAACGTAGGTGATGAGATTCATGAAGTCTGCGTGGCCCTCTTGCAGACTCTAGGAAAAACCTTTGCGTCTTATTTCTGTGCCACACAGCAGCTATCTGGAGGGGTTTTCAGAGGGGCAGTTACTCTGTTTGCTTTGCATTTTCATTTCATATTTTATTATAAAAATATTAAAATTTCAAACAGAACGTGAACACCTGCATACCCATCAGATTCCACATTTTGTTATCTTTTCTTTGTTACCTATCTATTCTTCGTGTTGTTTTGTTTTTTGTTTGAGATGGAGTCTCACTGTCACCCAGGGTGGAGTGCCATGGTGCGAGTGGGTGATCATGGCTCACTGCAATCTCCAAGTCCTGGGTTCAAGCTATTCTCCTGCCTCAGCTTCCCAAGTAGCTGGGATTACAGGTGTGCACCACCACGCCTGGCTATTTTTTGTATTTTTAGTAGAGATGGGGTTTCACCATGCTGGCCAGGCTGGTCTCAAACTCCTGACCTCAGGCTGTCTGCCCGCCTTGGCCTCCCAAAGTGCTGGGATTATAGGCATGAGCCACAGCACCTGGCCTGCAATCTTGCAAGTTTTATTCTAGTCCAGAGCCTTTCTCTCAGAGCATAACCAGAGTGATCCCTGGAGTCTGGGGAATCCTTGAATGCCATCTCCTCTAGCACTGATTCTAGTATTGATTCTAGCCTCTGACACACCAGGGGTGTGCCCTGAAGCCAAAGAAGAAGGGGTGGGGAGGCTCACATGCTCTTGCTATGAAGTTCTCAGTTCCTCCTTTGCCTTGTTCTGGAAGGTTTCTTTTTCTCTTTTCTTTTTTATTTTTTTCTTTTTTTTTTTTGACAGCATCTTGCTCTGTCCCTGGGCTGGCGTGCAGTGGTGCGATCTTGGCTCACTGCAACCTCCGCCTCCTGGGTTCAAGCACTTCTCCTGCCTCAGCCTCCTGAGTAGCTGGGATTGCAGGCGCCCAGCTGTTTTGTATTTTTAGTAGAGATGGGATTTCACCATGTTAGGCTGGTCTCGAACTCCTGATCTCAGGTGACCTGCCCATCTCGGCCTCCCAAAGTGCTGGGATTACAGGCATGAGCCACCATGCCAGGTGTTCTGAAAGGTTTTTGTTTGTTTGTTTGTTTGTTTGAGACGGAGTCTCACGTTGTCACCAGGCTGCAGTGCAGTGGCGCAATCTTGGCTCACTGCAACCTCTGCCTCCTGGGTTCAAGAGATTCTCCTGCCTCAGCCTCCAGAGTAGCTAGGATTATAGGCGCCTACCACCACATCCAGCTAATTTTTTGTATTTTTAGTAGAGATGGGGGTTTCACCATGTTGGCCAGGCTAGTCTCGAACTCCTGACCTCGTGATTTGCCTGCCTCAGCCTCTCAGAATGCTGGGATTACAGGCATGAGCCACTGTGCCCGACCCCGTAATGTTTTTAGGAGGTCCCAAATCCAACCTTGAGCCTCTGCTAACTCGGTTCTACCCCCACAAGAACTAACAGGCATCTCAAACTTCATGGATCTAAAAGAATTCCTGATTCCCCCACCTCCTGCAAAATGGGCTCTACCAGCTTCCCGCCCCACCGGGGAATACCTTCTCTCATCTCCTTCCTTAAGATATCACTGGCTAGATGTGGTGGCCTGTGATAATACAAAATTAGCTGGGCGTGGTGGTATATGCCTGTAATCCCAGCTACTCAGGAGGCTGAGGCAGGAGAATCACTTGAACCCCAGACGCGGAGGTTGCAGTGAGCCAGGATCTTGCCATTGCACCCCAGCCTGGGCAACAAGAGCAAAACTCCGTCTCAGAAAAAAAAAAAAAAGAAGAAGAAGAAGAAGAAGGTATCACTTGCCTGTCTTGGTGGTTCACACCTGTAATCCTAGCACTTTGGGAGGCCAAGGCGAGTGGACTGCCTGAGCTCAGGAGTTCAAGACCAGCCTGGGCCACACGGCGAAACCCCGTCTCTACTAAAATACAAAAAATTGGCTGGGCGTAGCAGCATGTGCCTGTAGTCCCAGCTACTCAGCGGATGTTGGCGGCGAGCCTGGACTGCACCACTGCACTCCAGCCTGGACAACAGAGCAAGACTCCGTCTCTTAAAAAACAAAAACTTATCACCATCTTTTCACTTGCTGATGACAACAAAATATAGAGGGAGGGAAAAATATTAGTTTCATTAGACAACACATCCTCTGGGTTATCAGATTCTGGTCTTGTTCACTGTCTTTGCAGCCGTCTTTCCCCCATTGCATAATCTTTTTGCATAAAGTCTCTCCTCACCTGAGACCACATCTGTTTTTATTTGACGGGGTTAACCTTGATTTCTCCCTTTGACTTTAAACCTAGTTTGCCAGCAAATCCTGCTGGCTCTACCTCCATATACATCCCGAATTTATCCATTTTCTCCTTTCCCCACCACCCTGATCCAGCTGACACCAGCCCTGATCCAAGTTACTGTCATTGCTTGCCTGGATTTTGCAGCAGCCTCCCCACTGAGCTACCTGCTTCTGTCTGTCTCCTTCTCCCGCTCCTCCACAATTCACTCACTGGATGGCAGCCAGAAAGGTCTTTTTAAATGCAAGGAGGAAACTAATCTAAGGCCGGTGTGGTGGCTCACACCTGTAATTCCAGCACTTTGGGAGGCCGAGCCTGGCAGATCACCTGAGCTTGGGAGTTCGAGACCAGCCTAATCAACATGAAGAAACCCCGTCTCTACTAAAAATACAAAATTAGCCAGGTGTGGTGGTGCATGCCTGTAGTCCCAGCTACTCGGGAGGCTGAGGCAGGAGAATTGCTTAAACCTGGGAGGGGGAGGTTGCAGTGAGCCGAGATCGGGCCATTGCACTCCAGCCTGGGCGACACCAGCGAAACTCCATCTCAAAACAGTAACAACACAACAAAAACAACTAATCTACAGTGGGAGAGAAGAGGGAACAGTACAGACTCCAGGGAGCATCCTAGTTTTGTTCTTAAGAGAAAGGTCCCTATCCTAGAATAAAAATAGCAAGACTATTGACTAGGCACAGTGGCCAAGGCTGGTGGATCACCTGAGGTCAGGAGTTTGAGACCAGCCGGGCCAACATGGTAAAATCCCATCTCAACTGAAAATACAAAAATTAACCTGGCACGGTAGTACATGCCTGTAGTCCCAGCTGCTCGGGTGGCTGAGGCAGGAGAATCACTTAAACCCAGGAGGTGGAGTTTGCAGTGAACCAAGATTGTGCCACTGCACTCCAGCCTGGGTGACAAAGCAAGACTCAGTGTCCAAAAAAAAAAAAAAAAAAAAAAAAAAAAAAAGCAAGACTATAAAGATTGAGTCTAATATTTGAAGATGACCAAGATCGCAACATTCTATAGATTTTAAAAACTTAAAAGTTCTTAAGAGTTTAAAGATTCTGGCTGGGTGTGTTGGCTCATGCCTGTAATCTCAGCACTCTGGGAGGCTGTAATTCCAGCTACTCAGGAGACTGAGGCAGGAGAATCGAGTGAACCCGGGAGGCAGAGGTTGCAGTGAGCCAAGATTGTGCCACTGCTGTCCAGGCTAAGTGACAGAGCAAGATTCAATCTCAAAAAAAAAGAAGAAGAAGGAGGAGGAGGAGAAGGAGAAGGAGAAGGAGAAGAAGGAGGAGGAGGAGGAGGAGGAGGAGGAGGAGGAGGAAGAGGAGGAGGAGGAAGAGGAGAAGGAGGAGAAGGAGGAGAAGATGCTTTTCAGACTTGGAATTCCAGCAACCAAAGTGAAGGCCACCACCCACAGAGGAGTAGGAGCAGCACGAGAATATAGCTTCTTCATCTCCCAGTCCCGTGACTTCACCCTGCATTCTTCAACCCGTCGTCTCTTTTGGCGACCCTAGATGAAACCTCTTCTCTCCTGCAACCCAGTGTCTCTGTATGTTGATTTGCTGTGTGCATTGGGCAAAGAGCCTGTTACAGTTATAATTGGTTTGCAGTAGAGAAAGAGGTTTAATTGTAGGGTATAGCGGCACGTGCCTGTAATCCCAGCTACTGTGGGATAAGAAGATGGGAAGAAATCTCACATCCATCTCCCCTAAGGGTTTGGGGCTAGGGTTTTCAAGGGTTTTGGAGTGGACTGAAGGCTGGAAATCATTGATTAGTGCAGAGTGAAGTCATGGGACAGAGAGAGGAAGAAGTTATATTCTCTTTTTAAAAAAAAATTTTTTTTTTGCCGGGCACGGTGGCTCAAGCCTGTAATCCCAGCACTTTGGGAGGCCGA